TCGCCGAAAGAAAGTCCAAAATCTCCAATTAAACCAGAAGAACTAGACATTTCTCATGATATTCCAGCAAAACTTGATATTAAATCGCCGATTGACAAAAAAGACATTACTCCTAAATATATACCAGAAGAACATAAAATAACTAGTAAACCTACAGACGACGAGGTTGTTCCCTCATATATCAGATGCTAAAAAATCTCCGAAAGAAAGTCGAAAATCTCCAGTTAAACCACAAGAACTAGACATTTCTCATGACATTCCAGCAAAACTTGATATTAAATCGCCGATTGACAAAAAAGACATTACTCCTAAATTTATACCAGGACGAACATAAAATAACTAGTAAACCTACAGACGACGAGGTTGTTTCAGATATTACGGATGATAAAAAATCTCCGAAAGAAAGTCCAAAATCTCCAATTAAACCACAAGAACTAGACATTTCTCATGACATTCCAGAAAAAACACTGATATTAAATCTCCGTTAGATAAGAAAGTCATTACTCCTATATCTCCAGCTAAACCAGACGAACTTAAAACCATTGAAAAACCTATAGACGACAAAGTAGTACCACATATAACGGAAGATAAAAAATCCTCCGAAAGAAAGTCCAAAATCTCCAATTAAACCAGAAGAACTAGACATTTTTCATGATATTCCAGCAAAACATGATATTAAATCGCCGATTGACAAAAAAGACATTACTCCTAAACCTATACCCAGACGAACATAAAATAACTAGTTAAACCTACAGACGACGAGGTTGTTCCTCATATTACGGAAGATAAAAAATCTCCGATGAAGAAAGTACAAAATCTCCAATTAAACCACAAGAACTAGACATTTCTCATGACATTCCGGAAAAACATGATATTAAATCTCCGGTAGATAAGAAAGTCATTACTCCTATATCTCCAGCTAAACCAGACGAACTTAAAACCATTGAAAAACCTATAGACGACAAAGTAGTACCACATATAACGGAAGATAAAAAATCTCCGAAAGAAAGTCCAAAATCTCCATTAAACCAGAAGAACTAGACATTTCTCATGATATTCCAGCAAAACATGATATTAAATCGCCGATTGACAAAAAAGACATTACTCCTAAACCTATACCAGACGAACATAAAATAACTAGTAAACCTACAGACGACGAGGTTGTTCCTCATATTACGGAAGATAAAAAATCTCCGAAAGAAAGTACAAAATCTCCAATTAAACCACAAGAACTAGACATTTCTCATGACATTCCGGAAAAACATGATATTAAATCTCCGGTAGATAAGAAAGTCATTACTCCTATATCTCCAGCTAAACCAGACGAACTTAAAATCATTGAAAAACCTATAGACGACAAAGTAGTACCACATATAACGGAAGATAAAAAATCTCCGAGAAGAAAGGTCCAAAATCTCCAATTAAACCAGAAGAACTAGACATTTCTCATGATATTCCAGCAAAACTTGATATTAAATCGCCGATTGACAAAAAGACATTACTCCTAAATCTAAATCTATACCAGACGAACATAAAATACTAGTAAACCTACTGACGACGAGGTTGTTCCTCATATTACAGAAGGATAAAAAACCTCCGAAAGAAAGTCCAAAATCTCCAATTAAACCACAAGAACTAGACGTTTCTCATGACATTCCAGCAAAACTTGATATTAAATCGCCGATTGACAAAAAAGACATTACTTCTAAATCTATACCAGACGAACATAAAATAACTAGTAAACCTACTGACGACGAGGTTGTTCCTCATATTACGGAAGATAAAAAACCTCCGAAAGAAAGTCCAAAATCTCCAATTAAACCACAAGAACTAGGACGTTTCTCATGACATTCCAGCAAAACTTGATATTAAATCGCCGATTGACAAAAAAGACATTACTCCCAAACCTACACCAGACGAACATAAAATAACTAGTAAACCTACAGACGACAAGGTTGTTCCTCATATTACGGACGATAAAAAATCTACTAAAGAAAATTCCAAAATCTCCAATTAAACCACAAGAACTAGACATTTCTCATTACATTCCAGCACAGCAAAACTTGATATTAAATCGCCGATTGACAAAAAAGACATTACTTCTAAATCTATACCAGACGAACATAAAATAACTAGTAAACCTACTGACGACGAGGTTGTTCCTCATATTACGGAAGATAAAAAACCTCCGAAAGAAAGTCCAAAATCTCCAATTAAACCACAAGAACTAGACATTTCTCATGACATTCCAGAAAAACATGATATTAAATCTCCGTTAGATAAGAAAGTCATTACTCCTATATCTCCAGCTAAACCAGACCAACTTAAAACCATTGAAAAACCTATAGACGACAAAGTAGTACCACATATAACGGAAGATAAAAAATCTCCGAAAGAAAGTCCAAAATCTCCAATTAAACCAGAAGAACTAGACATTTCTCATGATATTCCAGCAAAACATGATATTAAATCGCCGATTGACAAAAAAGACATTACTCCTAAATTTATACCAGACGAACATAAAATAACTAGTAAACCTACAGACGACGAGGTTGTTTCAGATATTACGGATGATAAAAAATCTCCGAAAGAAAGTCCAAAATCTCCAATTAAACCACAAGAACTAGACATTTCTCATGACATTCCAGAAAAACATGATATTAAATCTCCGTTAGATAAGAAAGTCATTACTCCTATATCTCCAGCTAAACCAGACGAACTTAAAACCATTGAAAAACCTATAGACGACAAAGTAGTACCACATATAACGGAAGATAAAAAATCTCCGAAAGAAAGTCCAAAATCTCCAATTAAACCAGAAGAACTAGACATTTCTCATGATATTCCAGCAAAACATGATATTAAATCGCCGATTGACAAAAAAGACATTACTCCTAAACCTATACCAGACGAACATAAAATAACTAGTAAACCTACAGACGACGAGGTTGTTCCTCATATTACGGAAGATAAAAAATCTCCGAAAGAAAGTACAAAATCTCCAATTAAACCACAAGAACTAGACATTTCTCATGACATTCCGGAAAAACATGATATTAAATCTCCGGTAGATAAGAAAGTCATTACTCCTATATCTCCAGCTAAACCAGACGAACTTAAAATCATTGAAAAACCTATAGACGACAAAGTAGTACCACATATAACGGAAGATAAAAAATCTCCGAAAGAAAGTCCAAAATCTCCAATTAAACCAGAAGAACTAGACATTTCTCATGATATTCCAGCAAAACTTGATATTAAATCGCCGATTGACAAAAAAGACATTACTCCTAAATATATACCAGAAGAACATAAAATAACTAGTAAACCTACAGACGACGAGGTTGTTCCTCTTATATCAGATGCTAAAAAATCTCCGAAAGAAAGTCGAAAATCTCCAGTTAAACCACAAGAACTAGACATTTCTCATGACATTCCAGCAAAACTTGATATTAAATCGCCGATTGACAAAAAAGACATTACTCCTAAATCTAAATCTATACCAGTCGAACATAAAATAACTAGTAAACCTACTGACGACGAGGTTGTTCCTCATATTACAGAAGATAAAAAACCTCTGAAAGAAAGTCCAAAATCTCCAATTAAACCACAAGAACTAGACGTTTCTCATGACATTCCAGCAAAACTTGATATTAAATCGCCGATTGACAAAAAAGACATTACTTCTAAATCTATACCAGACGAACATAAAATAACTAGTAAACCTACTGACGACGAGGTTGTTCCTCATATTACGGAAGATAAAAAACCTCCGAAAGAAAGTCCAAAATCTCCAATTAAACCACAAGAACTAGACGTTTCTCATGACATTCCAGCAAAACTTGATATTAAATCGCCGATTGACAAAAAAGACTTTACTCCTAAATTTATACCAGACGAACATAAAATAACTAGTAAACCTACAGACGACGAGGTTGTTTCTCATATTACGGATGATAAAAAATCCCAGAAAGAAAGTCCAAAATCTCCAATTAAACCACAAGAACTAGACATTTCTCATGACATTCCAGAAAAACATGATATTAAATCTCCGGTAGATAAGAAAGTCATTTCTCCTATATCTCCAGCTAAACCAGACGAACATGAGATAAATGAAAAACCTATAGAAGACGAAGTAGTTCCACATATTACGGAAGATAAAAAATCTCCGAAAGAAAGTACAAAATCTCCAATTAAACCAGAAGAACTAGACATTTCTCATACTATTCCAGCAAAACTTGATATTAAATCGCCGATTGACAAAAAAGACATTACTCCTAAATCTAAATCTATACCAGACGAACATAAAATAACTAGTAAACCTACTGACGACGAGGTTGTTCCTCATATTACAGAAGATAAAAAACCTCCGAAAGAAAGTCCAAAATCTCCAATTAAACCACAAGAACTAGACGTTTCTCATGACATTCCAGCAAAACTTGATATTAAATCGCCGATTGACAAAAAAGACATTACTTCTAAATCTATACCAGACGAACATAAAATAACTAGTAAACCTACTGACGACGAGGTTGTTCCTCATATTACGGAAGATAAAAAACCTCCGAAAGAAAGTCCAAAATCTCCAATTAAACCACAAGAACTAGACGTTTCTCATGACATTCCAGCAAAACTTGATATTAAATCGCCGATTGACAAAAAAGACATTACTCCCAAACCTACACCAGACGAACATAAAATAACTAGTAAACCTACAGACGACGAGGTTGTTCCTCATATTACGGACGATAAAAAATCTACTAAAGAAATTCCAAAATCTCCAATTAAACCACAAGAACTAGACATTTCTCATTACATTCCAGCAAAACTTGATATTAAATCGCCGATTGACAAAAAAGACTTTACTCCTAAATTTATACCAGACGAACATAAAATAACTAGTAAACCTACTGACGACGAGGTTGTTCCTCATATTACAGATGAAAAACCTCAGAAAGAAAGTCCAAAATCTCCAATTAAACCAGAAGAACTAGACATTTCTTATGACATTCCAGCAAAACATGATATTAAATCGCCGATTGACAAAAAAGACATTACTCCTAAATCTATACCAGACGAACATAAAATAACTAGTAAACCTACAGACGACGAGGTTGTCCCTCATATTACGGATGATAAAAAATCTCCGAAAGAAAGTCCAAAATCTCCAATTAAACCACAAGAACTAGACATTTCTCACGACATTCCAGCAAAACTTGATATTAAATCGCCGATTGACAAAAAAGACATTACTCCTAAATCTAAATCTATACCAGACGAACATAAAATAACTAGTAAACCTACTGACGACGAGGTTGTTTCAGATATTACGGATGATAAAAAATCTCCGAAAGAAAGTCCAAAATCTCCAATTAAACCACAAGAACTAGACATTTCTCATGACATTCCAGAAAAACATGATATTAAATCTCCGTTAGATAAGAAAGTCATTACTCCTATATCTCCAGCTAAACCAGACGAACTTAAAACCATTGAAAAACCTATAGACGACAAAGTAGTACCACATATAACGGAAGATAAAAAATCTCCGAAAGAAAGTCCAAAATCTCCAATTAAACCAGAAGAACTAGACATTTCTCATGATATTCCAGCAAAACATGATATTAAATCGCCGATTGACAAAAAAGACATTACTCCTAAACCTATACCAGACGAACATAAAATAACTAGTAAACCTACAGACGACGAGGTTGTTCCTCATATTACGGAAGATAAAAAATCTCCGAAAGAAAGTACAAAATCTCCAATTAAACCACAAGAACTAGACATTTCTCATGACATTCCGGAAAAACATGATATTAAATCTCCGGTAGATAAGAAAGTCATTACTCCTATATCTCCAGCTAAACCAGACGAACTTAAAATCATTGAAAAACCTATAGACGACAAAGTAGTACCACATATAACGGAAGATAAAAAATCTCCGAAAGAAAGTCCAAAATCTCCAATTAAACCAGAAGAACTAGACATTTCTCATGATATTCCAGCAAAACTTGATATTAAATCGCCGATTGACAAAAAAGACATTACTTCTAAATCTATACCAGACGAACATAAAATAACTAGTAAACCTACTGACGACGAGGTTGTTCCTCATATTACAGAAGATAAAAAACCTCCGAAAGAAAGTCCAAAATCTCCAATTAAACCACAAGAACTAGACGTTTCTCATGACATTCCAGCAAAACTTGATATTAAATCGCCGATTGACAAAAAAGACATTACTTCTAAATCTATACCAGACGAACATAAAATAACTAGTAAACCTACTGACGACGAGGTTGTTCCTCATATTACGGAAGATAAAAAACCTCCGAAAGAAAGTCCAAAATCTCCAATTAAACCACAAGAACTAGACATTTTTCATGACATTCCAGAAAAACATGATATTAAATCTCCGTTAGATAAGAAAGTCATTACTCCTATATCTCCAGCTAAACCAGACGAACTTAAAACCATTGAAAAACCTATAGACGACAAAGTAGTACCACATATAACGGAAGATAAAAAATCTCCGAAAGAAAGTCCAAAATCTCCAATTAAACCAGAAGAACTAGACATTTCTCATGATATTCCAGCAAAACATGATATTAAATCGCCGATTGACAAAAAAGACATTACTCCTAAATTTATACCAGACGAACATAAAATAACTAGTAAACCTACAGACGACGAGGTTGTTTCAGATATTACGGATGATAAAAAATCTCCGAAAGAAAGTCCAAAATCTCCAATTAAACCACAAGAACTAGACATTTCTCATGACATTCCAGAAAAACATGATATTAAATCTTCGTTAGATAAGAAAGTCATTACTCCTATATCTCCAGCTAAACCAGACGAACTTAAAACCATTGAAAAACCTATAGACGACAAAGTAGTACCACATATAACGGAAGATAAAAAATCTCCGAAAGAAAGTCCAAAATCTCCAATTAAACCAGAAGAACTAGACATTTCTCATGATATTCCAGCAAAACATGATATTAAATCGCCGATTGACAAAAAAGACATTACTCCTAAACCTATACCAGACGAACATAAAATAACTAGTAAACCTACAGACGACGAGGTTGTTCCTCATATTACGGAAGATAAAAAATCTCCGAAAGAAAGTACAAAATCTCCAATTAAACCACAAGAACTAGACATTTCTCATGACATTCCGGAAAAACATGATATTAAATCTCCGGTAGATAAGAAAGTCATTACTCCTATATCTCCAGCTAAACCAGACGAACTTAAAATCATTGAAAAACCTATAGACGACAAAGTAGTACCACATATAACGGAAGATAAAAAATCTCCGAAAGAAAGTCCAAAATCTCCAATTAAACCAGAAGAACTAGACATTTCTCATGATATTCCAGCAAAACTTGATATTAAATCGCCGATTGACAAAAAAGACATTACTCCTAAATATATACCAGAAGAACATAAAATAACTAGTAAACCTACAGACGACGAGGTTGTTCCTCATATTACAGATGCTAAAAAATCTCCGAAAGAAAGTCGAAAATCTCCAGTTAAACCACAAGAACTAGACATTTCTCATGACATTCCAGCAAAACTTGATATTAAATCGCCGATTGACAAAAAAGACATTACTCCTAAACCTATACCAGACGAACATAAAATAACTAGTAAACCTACAGACGACGAGGTTGTTCCTCATATTACGGAAGATAAAAAATCTCCGAAAGAAAGTACAAAATCTCCAATTAAACCACAAGAACTAGACATTTCTCATGACATTCCGGAAAAACATGATATTAAATCTCCGGTAGATAAGAAAGTCATTACTCCTATATCTCCAGCTAAACCAGACGAACTTAAAATCATTGAAAAACCTATAGACGACAAAGTAGTACCACATATAACGGAAGATAAAAAATCTCCGAAAGAAAGTCCAAAATCTCCAATTAAACCAGAAGAACTAGACATTTCTCATGATATTCCAGCAAAACTTGATATTAAATCGCCGATTGACAAAAAAGACATTACTCCTAAATATATACCAGAAGAACATAAAATAACTAGTAAACCTACAGACGACGAGGTTGTTCCTCATATTACAGATGCTAAAAAATCTCCGAAAGAAAGTCGAAAATCTCCAGTTAAACCACAAGAACTAGACATTTCTCATGACATTCCAGCAAAACTTGATATTAAATCGCCGATTGACAAAAAAGACATTACTCCTAAATCTAAATCTATACCAGTCGAACATAAAATAACTAGTAAACCTACTGACGACGAGGTTGTTCCTCATATTACAGAAGATAAAAAACCTCTGAAAGAAAGTCCAAAATCTCCAATTAAACCACAAGAACTAGACGTTTCTCATGACATTCCAGCAAAACTTGATATTAAATCGCCGATTGACAAAAAAGACATTACTTCTAAATCTATACCAGACGAACATAAAATAACTAGTAAACCTACTGACGACGAGGTTGTTCCTCATATTACGGAAGATAAAAAACCTCCGAAAGAAAGTCCAAAATCTCCAATTAAACCACATGAACTAGACGTTTCTCATGACATTCCAGCAAAACTTGATATTAAATCGCCGATTGACAAAAAAGACATTACTCCCAAACCTACACCAGACGAACATAAAATAACTAGTAAACCTACAGACGACAAGGTTGTTCCTCATATTACGGACGATAAAAAATCTACTAAAGAAATTCCAAAATCTCCAATTAAACCACAAGAACTAGACATTTCTCATTACATTCCAGCAAAACTTGATATTAAATCGCCGATTGACAAAAAAGACTTTACTCCTAAATTTATACCAGACGAACATAAAATAACTAGTAAACCTACAGACGACGAGGTTGTTTCTCATATTACGGATGATAAAAAATCCCAGAAAGAAAGTCCAAAATCTCCAATTAAACCACAAGAACTAGACATTTCTCATGACATTCCAGAAAAACATGATATTAAATCTCCGGTAGATAAGAAAGTCATTTCTCCTATATCTCCAGCTAAACCAGACGAACATGAGATAAATGAAAAACCTATAGAAGACGAAGTAGTTCCACATATTACGGAAGATAAAAAATCTCCGAAAGAAAGTACAAAATCTCCAATTAAACCAGAAGAACTAGACATTTCTCATACTATTCCAGCAAAACTTGATATTAAATCGCCGATTGACAAAAAAGACATTACTCCTAAATCTAAATCTATACCAGACGAACCTAAAATAACTAGTAAACCTACTGACGACGAGGTTGTTCCTCATATTACAGATGAAAAACCTCAGAAAGAAAGTCCAAAATCTCCAATTAAACCAGAAGAACTAGACATTTCTTATGACATTCCAGCAAAACATGATATTAAATCGCCGATTGACAAAAAAGACATTACTCCTAAATCTATACCAGACGAACATAAAATAACTAGTAAACCTACAGACGACGAGGTTGTCCCTCATATTACGGATGATAAAAAATTTTCGAAAGAAAGTCCAAAATCTCCAATTAAACCACAAGAACCAGACTTTTCTCACGACATTCCAGCAAAACTTGATATTAAATCGCCGATTGACAAAAAAGACATTACTCCTAAATCTAAATCTATACCAGACGAACATAAAATAACTAGTAAACCTACTGACGACGAGGTTGTTCCTCATATTACGGAAGATAAAAAACCTCCGAAAGAAAGTCCAAAATCTCCAATTAAACCACAAGAACTAGACGTTTCTCATGACATTCCAGCAAAACTTGATATTAAATCGCCGATTGACAAAAAAGACATTACTCCCAAACCTACACCAGACGAACATAAAATAACTAGTAAACCTACAGACGACGAGGTTGTTCCTCATATTACGGACGATAAAAAATCTACTAAAGAAATTCCAAAATCTCCAATTAAACCACAAGAACTAGACATTTCTCATTACATTCCAGCAAAACTTGATATTAAATCGCCGATTGACAAAAAAGACTTTACTCCTAAATTTATACCAGACGAACATAAAATAACTAGTAAACCTACAGACGACGAGGTTGTTTCTCATATTACGGATGATAAAAAATCCCAGAAAGAAAGTCCAAAATCTCCAATTAAACCACAAGAACTAGACATTTCTTATGACATTCCAGAAAAACATGATATTAAATCTCCGGTAGATAAGAAAGTCATTTCTCCTATATCTCCAGCTAAACCAGACGAACATGAGATAAATGAAAAACCTATAGAAGACGAAGTAGTTCCACATATTACGGAAGATAAAAAATCTCCGAAAGAAAGTACAAAATCTCCAATTAAACCAGAAGAACTAGACATTTCTCATACTATTCCAGCAAAACTTGATATTAAATCGCCGATTGACAAAAAAGACATTACTCCTAAATCTAAATCTATACCAGACGAACCTAAAATAACTAGTAAACCTACTGACGACGAGGTTGTTCCTCATATTACAGATGAAAAACCTCAGAAAGAAAGTCCAAAATCTCCAATTAAACCAGAAGAACTAGACATTTCTTATGACATTCCAGCAAAACATGATATTAAATCGCCGATTGACAAAAAAGACATTACTCCTAAATCTATACCAGACGAACATAAAATAACTAGTAAACCTACAGACGACGAGGTTGTCCCTCATATTACGGATGATAAAAAATCTCCGAAAGAAAGTCCAAAATCTCCAATTAAACCACAAGAACTAGACATTTCTCACGACATTCCAGCAAAACTTGATATTAAATCGCCGATTGACAAAAAAGACATTACTCCTAAATCTAAATCTATACCAGACGAACATAAAAATAACTAGTAAACCTACTGACGACGAGGTTGTTCCTCATATTACGGAAGATAAAAAACCTCCGAAAGAAAGTCCAAAATCTCCAATTAAACCACAAGAACTAGACGTTTTCTCATGACATTCCAGCAAAACTTGATATTAAATCGCCGATTGACAAAAAAGACATTACTCCCAAACCTACACCAGACGAACATAAAATAACTAGTAAACCTACAGACGACGAGGTTGTTCCTCATATTACGGACGATAAAAAATCTACTAAAGAAATTCCAAAATCTCCAATTAAACCACAAGAACTAGACATTTCTCATTACATTCCAGCAAAACTTGATATTAAATCGCCGATTGACAAAAAAGATTTTACTCCTAAATTTATACCAGACGAACATGAAGTAACTAGTAAACCTACAGACGACGAGGTTGTTTCAGATATTACGGATGATAAAAAATCTCCGAAAGAAAGTCCAAAATCTCCAATTAAACCACAAGAACTAGACATTTCTCATGACATTCCAGAAAAACATGATATTAAATCTCCGTTAGATAAGAAAGTCATTACTCCTATATCTCCAGCTAAACCAGACGAACTTAAAACCATTGAAAAACCTATAGACGACAAAGTAGTACCACATATAACGGAAGATAAAAAATCTCCGAAAGAAAGTCCAAAATCTCCAATTAAACCAGAAGAACTAGACATTTCTCATGATATTCCAGCAAAACTTGATATTAAATCGCCGATTGACAAAAAAGACATTACTCCTAAATATATACCAGAAGAATATAAAATAACTAGTAAACCTACAGACGACGAGGTTGTTCCTCATATTACGGAAGATAAAAAATCTCCGAAAGAAAGTACAAAATCTCCAATTAAACCACAAGAACTAGACATTTCTCATGACATTCCGGAAAAACATGATATTAAATCTCCGGTAGATAAGAAAGTCATTACTCCTATATCTCCAGCTAAACCAGACGAACTTAAAATCATTGAAAAACCTATAGACGACAAAGTAGTACCACATATAACGGAAGATAAAAAATCTCCGAAAGAAAGTCCAAAATCTCCAATTAAACCAGAAGAACTAGACATTTCTCATGATATTCCAGCAAAACATGATATTAAATCGCCGATTGACAAAAAAGACATTACTCCTAAATTTATACCAGACGAACATAAAATAACTAGTAAACCTACAGACGACGAGGTTGTTTCAGATATTACGGATGATAAAAAATCTCCGAAAGAAAGTCCAAAATCTCCAATTAAACCACAAGAACTAGACATTTCTCATGACATTCCAGAAAAACATGATATTAAATCTCCGTTGGATAAGAAAGTCATTACTCCTACATCTCCAGCTAAACCAGACGAACTTAAAACCATTGAAAAACCTATAGACGACAAAGTAGTACCACATATAACGGAAGATAAAAAATCTCCGAAAGAAAGTCCAAAATCTCCAATTAAACCAGAAGAACTAGACATTTCTCATGATATTCCAGCAAAACTTGATATTAAATCGCCGATTGACAAAAAAGACATTACTCCTAAATATATACCAGAAGAATATAAAATAACTAGTAAACCTACAGACGACGAGGTTGTTCCTCATATTACAGATGCTAAAAAATCTCCGAAAGAAAGTCGAAAATCTCCAGTCAAACCACAAGAACTAGACATTTCTCATGACATTCCAGCAAAACTTGATATTAAATCGCCGATTGACAAAAAAGACATTACTCCTAAATCTAAATCTATACCAGACGAACATAAAATAACTAGTAAACCTACTGACGACGAGGTTGTTCCTCATATTACAGAAGATAAAAAACCTCCGAAAGAAAGTCCAAAATCTCCAATTAAACCACAAAGAACTAGACGTTTCTCATGACATTCCAGCAAAACTTGATATTAAATCGCCGATTGTCAAAAAAGACATTACTTCTAAATCTATACCAGACGAACATAAAATAACTAGTAAACCTACTGACGACGAGGTTGTTCCTCATATTACGGAAGATAAAAAACCTCCGAAAGAAAGTCCAAAATCTCCAATTAAACCACAAGAACTAGACATTTCTCATGACATTCCAGAAAAACATGATATTAAATCTCCGTTAGATAAGAAAGTCATTACTCCTATATCTCCAGCTAAACAGACGAACTTAAAACCATTGAAAAACCTATAGACGACAAAGTAGTACCACATATAACGGAAGATAAAAAATCTCCGAAAGAAGGTCCAAAATCTCCAATTAAACCAGAAGAACTAGACATTTCTCATGATATTCCAGCAAAACATGATATTAAATCGCCGATTGACAAAAAGACATTACTCCTAAATTTATACCAGACGAACATAAAATAACTAGTAAACCTACAGACGACGAGGTTGTTTCAGATATTACGGATGATAAAAAATCTCCGAAAGAAAGTCCAAAATCTCCAATTAAACCACAAGAACTAGACATTTCTCATGACATTCCAGAAAAACATGATATTAAATCTCCGTTGGATAAGAAAGTCATTACTCCTACATCTCCAGCTAAACCAGACGAACTTAAAACCATTGAAAAACCTATAGACGACAAAGTAGTACCACATATAACGGAAGATAAAAAATCTCCGAAAGAAAGTCCAAAATCTCCAATTAAACCAGAAGAACTAGACATTTCTCATGATATTCCAGCAAAACTTGATATTAAATCGCCGATTGACAAAAAAGACATTACTCCTAAATATATACCAGAAGAACATAAAATAACTAGTAAACCTACAGACGACGAGGTTGTTCCTCATATTACGGAAGATAAAAAATCTCCGAAAGAAAGTACAAAATCTCCAATTAAACCACAAGAACTAGACATTTCTCATGACATTCCGGAAAAACATGATATTAAATCTCCGGTAGATAAGAAAGTCATTACTCCTATATCTCCAGCTAAACCAGACGAACTTAAAACCATTGAAAAACCTATAGACGACAAAGTAGTACCACATATAACGGAAGATAAAAAATCTCCGAAAGAAAGTCCAAAATCTCCAATTAAACCAGAAGAACTAGACATTTCTCATGATATTCCAGCAAAACTTGATATTAAATCGCCGATTGACAAAAAAGACATTACTCCTAAATATATACCAGAAGAATATAAAATAACTAGTAAACCTACAGACGACGAGGTTGTTCCTCATATAACAGATGCTAAAAAATCTCCGAAAGAAAGTCGAAAATCTCCAGTCAAACCACAAGAACTAGACATTTCTCATGACATTCCAGCAAAACTTGATATTAAATCGCCGATTGACAAAAAAGACATTACTCCTAAATCTAAATCTATACCAGACGAACATAAAATAACTAGTAAACCTACTGACGACGAGGTTGTTCCTCATATTACAGAAGATAAAAAACCTCCGAAAGAAAGTCCAAAATCTCCAATTAAACCACAAGAACTAGACGTTTCTCATGACATTCCAGCAAAACTTGATATTAAATCGCCGATTGTCAAAAAAGACATTACTTCTAAATCTATACCAGACGAACATAAAATAACTAGTAAACCTACTGACGACGAGGTTGTTCCTCATATTACGGAAGATAAAAAACCTCCGAAAGAAAGTCCAAAATCTCCAATTAAACCACAAGAACTAGACATTTCTCATGACATTCCAGAAAAACATGATATTAAATCTCCGTTAGATAAGAAAGTCATTACTCCTATATCTCCAGCTAAACCAGACGAACTTAAAACCATTGAAAAACCTATAGACGACAAAGTAGTACCACATATAACGGAAGATAAAAAATCTCCGAAAGAAAGTCCAAAATCTCCAATTAAACCAGAAGAACTAGACATTTCTCATGATATTCCAGCAAAACATGATATTAAATCGCCGATTGACAAAAAAGACATTACTCCTAAATTTATACCAGACGAACATAAAATAACTAGTAAACCTACAGACGACGAGGTTGTTTCAGATATTACGGATGATAAAAAATCTCCGAAAGAAAGTCCAAAATCTCCAATTAAACCACAAGAACTAGACATTTCTCATGACATTCCAGAAAAACATGATATTAAATCTCCGTTAGATAAGAAAGTCATTACTCCTATATCTCCAGCTAAACCAGACGAACTTAAAACCATTGAAAAACCTATAGACGACAAAGTAGTACCACATATAACGGAAGATAAAAAATCTCCGAAAGAAAGTCCAAAATCTCCAATTAAACCAGAAGAACTAGACATTTCTCATGATATTCCAGCAAAACATGATATTAAATCGCCGATTGACAAAAAAGACATTACTCCTAAACCTATACCAGACGAACATAAAATAACTAGTAAACCTACAGACGACGAGGTTGTTCCTCATATTACGGAAGATAAAAAATCTCCGAAAGAAAGTACAAAATCTCCAATTAAACCACAAGAACTAGACATTTCTCATGACATTCCGGAAAAACATGATATTAAATCTCCGGTAGATAAGAAAGTCATTACTCCTATATCTCCAGCTAAACCAGACGAACTTAAAATCATTGAAAAACCTATAGACGACAAAGTAGTACCACATATAACGGAAGATAAAAAATCTCCGAAAGAAAGTCCAAAATCTCCAATTAAACCAGAAGAACTAGACATTTCTCATGATATTCCAGCAAAACTTGATATTAAATCGCCGATTGACAAAAAAGACATTACTCCTAAATATATACCAGAAGAACATAAAATAACTAGTAAACCTACAGACGACGAGGTTGTTCCTCATATTACAGATGCTAAAAAATCTCCGAAAGAAAGTCGAAAATCTCCAGTTAAACCACAAGAACTAGACATTTCTCATGACATTCCAGCAAAACTTGATATTAAATCGCCGATTGACAAAAAAGACATTACTCCTAAATCTAAATCTATACCAGACGAACATAAAATAACTAGTAAACCTACTGACGACGAGGTTGTTCCTCATATTACAGAAGATAAAAAACCTCCGAAAGAAAGTCCAAAATCTCCAATTAAACCACAAGAACTAGACGTTTCTCATGACATTCCAGCAAAACTTGATATTAAATCGCCGATTGACAAAAAAGACATTACTTCTAAATCTATACCAGACGAACATAAAATAACTAGTAAACCTACTGACGACGAGGTTGTTCCTCATATTACGGAAGATAAAAAACCTCCGAAAGAAAGTCCAAAATCTCCAATTAAACCACAAGAACTAGACGTTTCTCATGACATTCCAGCAAAACTTGATATTAAATCGCCGATTGACAAAAAAGACATTACTCCCAAACCTACACCAGACGAACATAAAATAACTAGTAAACCTACAGACGACAAGGTTGTTCCTCATATTACGGACGATAAAAAATCTACTAAAGAAATTCCAAAATCTCCAATTAAACCACAAGAACTAGACATTTCTCATTACATTCCAGCAAAACTTGATATTAAATCGCCGATTGACAAAAAAGACTTTACTCCTAAATTTATACCAGACGAACATAAAATAACTAATAAACCTACAGACGACGAGGTTGTTTCTCATATTACGGATGATAAAAAATCCCAGAAAGAAAGTCCAAAATCTCCAATTAAACCACAAGAACTAGACATTTCTCATGACATTCCAGAAAAACATGATATTAAATCTCCGGTAGATAAGAAAGTCATTTCTCCTATATCTCCAGCTAAACCAGACGAACATGAGATAAATGAAAAACCTATAGAAGACGAAGTAGTTCCACATATTACGGAAGATAAAAAATCTCCGAAAGAAAGTACAAAATCTCCAATTAAACCAGAAGAACTAGACATTTCTCATACTATTCCAGCAAAACTTGATATTAAATCGCCGATTGACAAAAAAGACATTACTCCTAAATCTAAATCTATACCAGACGAACCTAAAATAACTAGTAAACCTACTGACGACGAGGTTGTTCCTCATATTACAGATGAAAAACCTCAGAAAGAAAGTCCAAAATCTCCAATTAAACCAGAAGAACTAGACATTTCTTATGACATTCCAGCAAAACATGATATTAAATCGCCGATTGACAAAAAAGACATTACTCCTAAATCTATACCAGACGAACATAAAATAACTAGTAAACCTACAGACGACGAGGTTGTCCCTCATATTACGGATGATAAAAAATCTCCGAAAGAAAGTCCAAAATCTCCAATTAAACCACAAGAACTAGACATTTCTCACGACATTCCAGCAAAACTTGATATTAAATCGCCGATTGACAAAAAAGACATTACTCCTAAATCTAAATCTATACCAGACGAACATAAAATAACTAGTAAACCTACTGACGACGAGGTTGTTCCTCATATTACGGAAGATAAAAAACCTCCGAAAGAAAGTCCAAAATCTCCAATTAAACCACAAGAACTAGACGTTTCTCATGACATTCCAGCAAAACTTGATATTAAATCGCCGATTGACAAAAAAGACATTACTCCCAAACCTACACCAGACGAACATAAAATAACTAGTAAACCTACAGACGACGAGGTTGTTCCTCATATTACGGACGATAAAAAATCTACTAAAGAAATTCCAAAATCTCCAATTAAACCACAAGAACTAGACATTTCTCATTACATTCCAGCAAAACTTGATATTAAATCGCCGATTGACAAAAAAGACTTTACTCCTAAATTTATACCAGACGAACATAAAATAACTAGTAAACCTACAGACGACGAGGTTGTTTCAGATATTACGGATGATAAAAAATCTCCGAAAGAAAGTCCAAAATCTCCAATTAAACCACAAGAACTAGACATTTCTCATGACATTCCAGAAAAACATGATATTAAATCTCCGTTAGATAAGAAAGTCATTACTCCTATATCTCCAGCTAAACCAGACGAACTTAAAACCATTGAAAAACCTATAGACGACAAAGTAGTACCACATATAACGGAAGATAAAAAATCTCCGAAAGAAAGTCCAAAATCTCCAATTAAACCAGAAGAACTAGACATTTCTCATGATATTCCAGCAAAACATGATATTAAATCGCCGATTGACAAAAAAGACATTACTCCTAAACCTATACCAGACGAACATAAAATAACTAGTAAACCTACAGACGACGAGGTTGTTCCTCATATTACGGAAGATAAAAAATCTCCGAAAGAAAGTACAAAATCTCCAATTAAACCACAAGAACTAGACATTTCTCATGACATTCCGGAAAAACATGATAATAAATCTCCGGTAGATAAGAAAGTCATTACTCCTATATCTCCAGCTAAACCAGACGAACTTAAAATCATTGAAAAACCTATAGACGACAAAGTAGTACCACATATAACGGAAGATAAAAAATCTCCGAAAGAAAGTCCAAAATCTCCAATTAAACCAGAAGAACTAGACATTTCTCATGATATTCCAGCAAAACTTGATATTAAATCGCCGATTGACAAAAAAGACATTACTCCTAAATATATACCAGAAGAATATAAAATAACTAGTAAACCTACAGACGACGAGGTTGTTCCTCATATTACAGATGCTAAAAAATCTCCGAAAGAAAGTCGAAAATCTCCAGTTAAACCACAAGAACTAGACATTTCTCATGACATTCCAGCAAAACTTGATATTAAATCGCCGATTGACAAAAAAGACATTACTCCTAAATCTAAATCTATACCAGACGAACATAAAATAACTAGTAAACCTACTGACGACGAGGTTGTTCCTCATATTACAGAAGATAAAAAACCTCCGAAAGAAAGTCCAAAATCTCCAATTAAACCACAAGAACTAGACGTTTCTCATGACATTCCAGCAAAACTTGATATTAAATCGCCGATTGACAAAAAAGACATTACTTCTAAATCTATACCAGACGAACATAAAATAACTAGTAAACCTACTGGCGACGAGGTTGTTCCTCATATTACGGAAGATAAAAAACCTCCGAAAGAAAGTCCAAAATCTCCAATTAAACAACAAGAACTAGACGTTTCTCATGACATTCCAGCAAAACTTGATATTAAATCGCCGATTGACAAAAAAGACTTTACTCCTAAATTTATACCAGACGAACATAAAATAACTAGTAAACCTACAGACGACGAGGTTGTTCCTCATATTACGGACGATAAAAAATCTCCGAAAGAAAGTCCAAAATCTCCAATTAAACCAGAAGAACTAGACATTTCTCATGATATTCCGGAAAAACATGATATTAAATCTCCGGTAGATAAGAAAGTCATTACTCCTATATCTCCAGCTAAACTAGACGAACTTAAAATCATTGAAAAACCTATAGACGACAAAGTAGTACCACATATAACGGAAGATAAAAAATCTCCGAAAGAAAGTCCAAAATCTCCAATTAAACCAGAAGAACTAGACATTTCTCATGATATTCCAGCAAAACTTGATATTACTCCCAAACCTACACCAGACGAACATAAAATAACTAGTAAACCTACAGACGACGAGGTTGTTCCTCATATTACGGACGATAAAAAATCTACTAAAGAAAGTCCAAAATCTCCAATTAAACCACAAGAACTAGACATTTCTCATTACATTCCAGCAAAACTTGATATTAAATCGCCGATTGACAAAAAAGACTTTACTCCTAAATTTATACCAGACGAACATAAAATAACTAGTAAACCTAGAGACGACGAGGTTGTTCCTCATATTACGGACGATAAAAAATCTCCGAAAGAAAGTCCAAAATCTCCAATTAAACCAGAAGAACTAGACATTTCTCATGATATTCCGGAAAAACATGATATTAAATCTCCGGTAGATAAGAAAGTCATTACTCCTATATCTCCAGCTAAACTAGACGAACTTAAAATCATTGAAAAACCTATAGACGACAAAGTAGTACCACATATAACGGAAGATAAAATATTTCCGAAAGAAAGTCCAAAATCTCCAATTAAACCAGAAGAACTAGACATTTCTCATGATATTCCAGCAAAACTTGATATTAAATCGCCGATTGACAAAAAAGACATTACTCCCAAACCTACACCAGACGAACATAAAATAACTAGTAAACCTACAGACGACGAGGTTGTTCCTCATATTACGGACGATAAAAAATCTACTAAAGAAAGTCCAAAATCTCCAATTAAACCACAAGAACTAGACATTTCTCATTACATTCCAGCAAAACTTGATATTAAATCGCCGATTGACAAAAAAGACTTTACTCCTAAATTTATACCAGACGAACATAAAATAACTAGTAAACCTACAGACGACGAGGTTGTTTCTCATATTACGGATGATAAAAAATCTCCGAAAGAAAGTCCAAAATCTCCAATTAAACCACAAGAACTAGACATTTCTCATGACATTCCAGAAAAACATGATATTAAATCTCCGGTAGATAAGAAAGTCATTACTCCTATATCTCCAGCTAAACCAGACGAACTTAAAACCATTGAAAAACCTATAGACGACAAAGTAGTACCACATATAACGGAAGAAAAAAAATCTCCGAAAGAAAGTCCAAAATCTCCAATTAAACCAGAAGAACTAGACATTTCTCATAATATTCCAGCAAAACTTGATATTAAATCGCCGATTGACAAAAAAGACATTACTCCTAAACCTATACCAGACGAACATAAAATAACTAGTAAACCTACAGACGACGAGGTTGTTCCTCATATTACGGACGATAAAAAATCTACTAAAGAAATTCCAAAATCTCCAATTAAACCACAAGAACTAGACATTTCTCATGACATTCCAGAAAAACATGATATTAAATCTCCGGTAGATAAGAAAGTCATTACTCCTATATCTCCAGCTAAACCAGACGAACCTAAAACCATTGAAAAACCTATAGACGACAAAGTAGTACCACATATAACGGAAGATAAAAAATCTCCGAAAGAAAGTCCAAAATCTCCAATTAAACCAGAAGAACTAGACATTTCTCATGATATTCCACCAAAACATAATATTAAATCGCCGATTGACAAAAAAGACATTACTCCTAAACCTATACCAGACGAACATAAAATAACTAGTAAACCTACAGACAACGAGGTTGTTCCTCATATTACGGACGATAAAAAATCTCCGAAAGAAAGTCCAAAATCTCCAATTAAACCAGAAGAACTAGACATTTCTCATGATATTCCAGAAAAACATGATATTAAATCGCCGATTGACAAAAAAGACATTACTCCTAAACCTATACCAGACGAACATAAAATAACTAGTAAACCTACAGACGACGAGGTTGTTCCTCATATTACGGAAGATAAAAAATCTCCGAAAGAAAGTACAAAATCTCCAATTAAACCACAAGAACTAGACATTTCTCATGACATTCCAGAAAAACATGATATTAAATCTCCGGTAGATAAGAAAGTCATTACTCCTATATCTCCAGCTAAACCAGACGAACTTAAAATCATTGAAAAACCTATAGACGACAAAGTAGTACCACATATAACGGAAGATACAAAATCTCCGAAAGAAAGTCCACAATCTTCAATTAAACCACAAGAACTAGACATTTCTCATGACATTTCAGAAAAACATGATAGTAAATCTCCGGTAGATAAAAAAGTCATTACTACTATATCTCCAAGTAAACCAGACGAAAATAAAATAACTGAAAAACCTATAGACGACAAAGTAGTTCCACATATAACGGAAGATAAAAAATCTCCGAAAGAAAGTCCAAAATCTCCAATTAAACCAGAAGAACTAGACATTTCTCATGATATTCCAGCAAAACATGATATTAAATCGCCGATTGAGAAAAAAGACATTACTCCTAAATCTAAATCTATACCAGACGAACCTAAAATAACTAGTAAACCTACAGACGACGAGGTTGTTCCTCATATTACGGACGATAAAAAATCTCCGAAAGAAAGTCCAAAATCTCCAATTAAACCAGAAGAACTAGACATTTCTCATGATATTCCGGAAAAACATGATATTAAATCTCCGGTAGATAAGAAAGTCATTACTCCTATATCTCCAGCTAAACTAGACGAACTTAAAATCATTGAAAAACCTATAGACGACAAAGTAGTACCACATATAACGGAAGATAAAAAATCTCCGAAAGAAAGTCCAAAATCTCCAATTAAACCAGAAGAACTAGACATTTCTCATTACATTCCAGCAAAACTTGATATTAAATCGCCGATTGACAAAAAAGACTTTACTCCTAAATTTATACCAGACGAACATAAAATAACTAGTAAACCTACAGACGACGAGGTTGTTCCTCATATTACGGACGATAAAAAATCTACTAAAGAAAATCCAAAATCTCCAATTAAACCACAAGAACTAGACATTTCTCATTACATTCCAGCAAAACTTGATATTAAATCGCCGATTGACAAAAAAGACTTTACTCCTAAATTTATACCAGACGAACATAAAATAACTAGTAAACCTACAGACGACGAGGTTGTTTCTCATATTACGGATGATAAAAAATCTCCGAAAGAAAGTCCAAAATCTCCAATTAAACCACATGAACTAGACATTTCTCATGACATTCCAGAAAAACATGATTTTAAATCTCCGGTAGATAAGAAAGTCATTACTCCTATATCTCCAGCTAAACCAGACGAACTTAAAACCATTGAAAAACCTATAGACGACAAAGTAGTACCACATATAACGGAAGATAAAAAATCTCCAAAAGAAAGTCCACAATCTTCAATTAAACCACAAGAACTAGACATTTCTCATTACATTCCAGCAAAACTTGATATTAAATCGCCGATTGACAAAAAAGACATTACTCCTAAACCTTTACCAGACGAACATAAAATAACTGGTAAACCTACAGACGACGAGGTTGTTCCTCATATTACGGTCGATAAAAAATCTCCGAAAGAAAGTCCAAAATCTCCATTTAAACCAGAAGAACTAGACATTTCTCATGACATTCCAGAAAAACATGATATTAAATCGCCGATTGACAAAAAAGACATTACTCCTAAACCTATACCAGACGAACATAAAATAACTAGTAAACCTACAGACAACGAGGTTGTTCCTCATATTACGGACGATAAAAAATCTCCGAAAGAAAGTCCAAAATCTCCAATTAAACCAGAAGAACTAGACATTTCTCATGATATTCCAGCAAAACATGATATTAAATCGTTGATTGACAAAAAAGACATTACTCCTAAACCTATACCAGGACGAACATAAAATAACTAGTAAACCTACAGACGACGAGGTTGTTCCTCATATTACGGAAGATAAAAAATCTCCGAAAGAAAGTACAAAATCTCCAATTAAACCACAAGAACTAGACATTTCTCATGACATTCCAGAAAAACATGATATTAAATCGCCGATTGACAAAAAAGACATTACTCCCAAACCTACATCAGACGAACATAAAATAACTAGTAAACCTACAGACGACGAGGTTGTTCCTCATATTACGGACGATAAAAAATCTACTAAAGAAAGTCCAAAATCTCCAATTAAACCACAAGAATTAGACATTTCTCATTACATTCCAGCAAAACTTGATATTAAATCGCCGATTGACAAAAAAGACATTACTCCTAAACCTATACCAGACGAACATAAAATAACTAGTAAACCTACAGACGACGAGGTTGTTCCTCATATTACGGACGATAAAAAATCTCCGAAAGAAAGTCCAAAATCTCCAATTAAACCAGAAGAACTAGACATTTCTCATGATATTCCAGCAAAACATGATATTAAATCGCCGATTGACAAAAAATACATTACTCCTAAACCTATACCAGACGAACATAAAATAACTAGTAAACCTACAGACGACAAGGTTGTTCCTCATATTACGGATGATAAAAAATCTACGAAAGAAAGTCCAAAATCTCCAATTAAACCACAAGAACTAGACATTTCTCATGACATTCCAGAAAAACATGATATTAAATATCCGGTAGATAAAAAAGTCATTACTCCTATATCTCCAGCTAAACCAGACGAACATAAAATCACTGAAAAAACTATAGACGACAAAGTAGTTCCGCATGTAACGGAAGATAAAAAATCTCCTCCGAAAGAAAGTCCAAAATCTCCAATTAAACCACAAGAACTAGAGATTTATCATGACATTCCAGAAAAACATGATATTAAATCTCCCGTAGATAAGAATGTCATTACTCCTATATCTCCATCTAAATCAGACGAACATAAAATAACTGAAAAACCAATAGACGACAAAGTAGTTCCACATATAGCGGAAGATAAAAAATCTCCGAAAGAAAGTCCAAAATCTCCAATTAAACCAGAAAAACCTGATAGTAAATCTCCGGTAGATAAGAAAGTCATTACTCCTATATCTCCAGCTAAATCAGACGAACATAAAATAACTGAAAAACCTATAGACGACAAAGTAGTTCCACATATAATGAAAGATAAAAAATCTCCGCAAGAAAGTCCAAAATCTCCAATTAAAACAGAAGAACTAGACATTAATCATGATATTCCAGCAAAACATGATATTAAATCGCCCATTGACAAAAAAGACATTACTCCTAAATCTAAATCTATACCAGACGAACCTAAAATAACTAGTAAACCTACTGACGACGAGGTTGTTCCTCATATTACGGACGATAAAAAATCTCCGAAAGAAAGTCCAAAATCTCCAATTAAAACAGAAGAACTAGACATTTCTCATGATATTCCAGCAAAACTTGATATTAAATCGCCGATTGACAAAAAAGACATTACTCCTAAATTTATATCAGACGAACAAAAAATAACTAGTAAACCTACAGACGACAAGGTTGTTCCTCAGATTACGGATGTTAAAAAATCTACGAAAGAAAGTCCAAAATCTCCAATTAAACCACAAGAACTAGACATTTCTCATGACATTCCAGAAAAACATGATATTAAATATCCGGTAGATAAAAAAGTCATTACTCCTATATCTCCAGCTAAACCAGACGAACATAAAATCACTGAAAAAACTATAGACGACAAAGTAGTTCCGCATGTAACGGAAGATAAAAAATCTCCGAAAGAAAGTCCAAAATCTCCAATTAAACCACAAGAACTAGAGATTTATCATGACATTCCAGAAAAACATGATATTAAATCTCCCGTAGATAAGAATGTCATTACTCCTATATCTCCATCTAAATCAGACGAACATAAAATAACTGAAAAACCAATAGACGACAAAGTAGTTCCACATATAGCGGAAGATAAAAAATCTCCGAAAGAAAGTCCAAAATCTCCAATTAAACCAGAAAAACCTGATAGTAAATCTCCGGTAGATAAGAAAGTCATTACTCCTATATCTCCAGCTAAATCAGACGAACATAAAATAACTGAAAAACCTATAGACGACAAAGTAGTTCCACATATAACGGAAGATAAAAAATCTCCGCAAGAAAGTCCAAAATCTCCAATTAAAACAGAAGAACTAGACATTTCTCATGATATTCCAGCAAAACTTGATATTAAATCGATGATTGACAAAAAAGACATTACTCCTAAATTTATATCAGACGAACAAAAAATAACTAGTAAACCTACAGACGACAAGGTTGTTCCTCAGATTACGGATGTTAAAAAATCTACGAAAGAAAGTCCAAAATCTCCAATTAAACCACAAGAACTAGACATTTCTCATGACATTCCAGAAAAACATGATATTGAATATCCGGTAGATAAAAAAGTCATTACTCCTATATCTCCAGCTAAACCAGACGAACATAAAATCACTGAAAAAACTATAGACGACAAAGTAGTTCCGCATGTAACGGAAGATAAAAAATCTCCGAATGAAAGTCCAAAATCTCCAATTAAACCACAAGAACTAGAGATTTATCATGACATTCCAGAAAAACATGATAATAAATCTCCCGTAGATAAGAATGTCATTACTCCTATATCTCCATCTAAATCAGACGAACATAAAATAACTGAAAAACCAATAGACGACAAAGTAGTTCCACATATAGCGGAAGATAAAAAATCTCCGAAAGAAAGTCCAAAATCTCCAATTAAACCAGAAAAACCTGATAGTAAATCTCCGGTAGATAAGAAAGTCATTACTCCTATATCTCCAGCTAAATCAGACGAACATAAAATAACTGAAAAACCTATAGACGACAAAGTAGTTCCACATATAACGGAAGATAAAAAATATCCGCAAGAAAGTCCAAAATCTCCAATTAAAACAGAAGAACTAGACATTTCTCATGATATTCCAGCAAAACATGATAATAAATCGCCCATTGACAAAAATGACATTACTCATAAATTTATACCAGACGAACATAAAATAACTAGTAAAGCTACACACGACGAGGTTGTTCCACATATTACGGATGATAAAAAATCTCCGAAAGAAAGTCCAAAATCTCCAATTGAACCACAAGAACTAGACATTTCTCATGACATTCCAGAAAAACATGATATTAAATCTCCGGTAGATAAGAAAGTCATTATTCCTTTATCTCCAGCTAAACCAGACGAACATAAAATCATTGAAAAACCTATAGACGACAAAGTAGTACCACATATAACGGAAAATAAAAAATCTCCGAAAGAAAGTCCAAAATCTCCAATTAAACCTCAAGAACCAGACATTTCTCATGATATTCCAGCAAAACTTGATATTAAATCGCCGATTGACAAAAAAGACATTACTCCTAAATTTATACCAGACGAACATAAAATAACTAGTAAACCTACAGACGACGAGGTTGTTCCTCATATTACGGATGATAAAAAATCTCCTAAAGAAAGTCCAAAATCTCCAATTAAACCACAAGAACTAGACATTTCTCATGACATTCCAGAAAAACATGATATTAAACCGCCGATTGACAAAAAAGACATTACTCCTAAACCTATACCAATCGAACATAAAATAACTAGTAAACCTACAGAAGACGAGGTTGTTCCTCATATTACGGAAGATAAAAAACCTCCGAAAAAAAGTCCAAAATCTCCAATTAAACCACAAGAACTAGACATTTCTCATGACATTCCAGCAAAACTTCATATTAAATCGCCGATTGACAAAAAAGACATTACTCCCAAACCTATACCAGACGAACATAAAATAACTAGTAAACCTACAGACGACGAGGTTGTTCCTCATATTACGGACGATAAAAAAGCTACTAAAGAAAGTCCAAAATCTCCAATTAAATCACAAGAACTAGAGATTTCTCATGACATTCCAGAAAAACATGATATTAAATCTCCGGTAGATAAGAAAGTCATTATTCCTTTATCTCCAGCTAAACCAGACGAACATGTAATAACTAAAAAACATATAGACGACAAATTAGTTCCACGTATAACGGAAGATAAAAAATATCCGAAAGAAAGTACAAAATCTCCAATTAAACCAGAAGAACTAGACATTTCTTATAATATTCCAGCAAAACTTGATATTAAATCGCCGATTGACAAAAAAGACATTACTCCTAAATCTAAATCTATACCAGACGAACCTAAAATAACTAGTAAACCTACTGACGACGAGGTTGTTCCTCATATTGCGGAAAATGAAAAGCCTCCGAAAGAAAGTCCAAAATATCCAATTAAACCAGAAGAACTAGACATTTCTCATGACATTTCAGAAAAGCATGATATTAAATCTCCGGTAGATAAGAAAGTCATTACTCCTATATTTCCAGCTAAATCAGACGAACATAAAATAACTAAAAAACCTATAGACGACAAAGTAGTTCCACATATAACGGAAGATAAGAAGTCTCCTAAAGAAAGTCCAAAATCTCCAATTAAACCACAAGAACTAGACATTTCTCATGATATTCCAGCAAAACATGATATTAAATCGCCGATTGACAAAAAAGACATTACTCCTAAACCTATACCAGACGAACATAAAATAGCTAGTAAACCTACAGAAGACGAGGTTGTTCCTCATATTACGGACGATAAAAAATCTCCTAAAGAAAGTCCAAAATCTCCTAAAGAAAGTCCAAAATCTCCAATTAATCCACAAGAACTAGACATTTCTCATGACATTCCAGAAAAACATGATATTAAATCTCCGGTAGATAAGAAAGTCATTATTCCTTTATCTCCAGCTAAACCAGACGAACATGAAATAACTAAAAAACCTATAGACGATGAAGTTGTTCCACATATAACGGAAGATAAAATATCTCCGAAAGAAAGTCCAAAATCTCCAATTAAACCTCAAGAACCAGACATTTCTCATGATGTTCCAGCAAAAATTGATATTAAATCGCCGATTGACAAAAAAGACATTACTCCTAAATTTATACCAGACGAACATAAAATAACTAGTAAACCTACAGACGACAAGGTTGTTCCTCATATTACGGATGATAAAAAATCTCCTAAAGAAAGTCCAAAATCTCCAATTAAACCACAAGAACTAGACATTTCTCATGATATTCCAGCAAAACATGATATTAAATCGCCGATTGACAAAAAAGACATTACTCCTAAATCTAAATATATACCAGACGAACCTAAAATAACCAGTAAACCTACTGACGACGAGGTTGTTCCTCATATTACGGAAGATGAAAAACCTCCGAAAAAAAGCCCAAAATCTCCAATTAAACCACAAGAACTAGACATTTCTCATGACATTCCAGCAAAAATTGATATTAAATCGCCGATTGACAAAAAAGACATTACTCCCAAACCTATACCAGACGAACATAAAATAACTAGTAAACCTACAGACGACAAGGTTGTTCCTCATATTACGGACGATAAAAAATCTCCGAAAGAAAGTCCAAAATCTCCAATTAAACCACAAGAACAAGACATTTCTCATGACATTCCAGAAAAACATGATATTAAATCTCCGGTAGATAAGAAAGTCATTATTCCTTTATCTCCAGCTAAACCAGACGAACATGAAATAACTAAAAAACCATTAGACGATGAAGTAGTTCCACATATTACGGAAGATAAAAAATATCCGAAAGAAAGTCCAAAATCTCCAATTAAACCTCAAGAACTAGACATTTCTCATGATATTCCAGCAAAACTTGATATTAATTCGCCGATTGACAAAAAAGACATTACTCCTAAATCTAAACCAGAAAAACATGAAATAACTAGAAAACATACAGACAACGAGGTTGTTCCTTATATTACGGAAGATAAAAAATCTCCGAAAGAAAGTCCAAAATCTCCAATTAAACCACAAGAACTAGACATTTCTCATGACATTCCAGAAAAACATGATATTAAATCTCCGGTAGATAAGAAAATCATTACTCCTATATCTCCACCTAAACCAGACGAACATAAAATCATTGAAAAACCTATAGACGACAAAGTAGTACCACATATTACGGAAGTTAAAAAATCTCCTAAAGAAAGTCCAAAATCTCCAATTAAACCAGAAGAACTAGACATTTCTCATGATATTCCAGCAAAACATGATATTAAATCGCCAATTGACAAAAAAGACATTACTCCTAAATCTAAATATATACCAGACGAACCTAAAATAACCAGTAAACCTACTGACGACGAGGTTGTTCCTCATATTACAGAAGATAAAACACCTCCGAAAGAAAGCCCAAAATCTTCAATTAAACCACAAGGACTAGACATTTCTCATGACATTCCAGCAAAACTTGATATTAAATCGCCGATTGACAAAAAAGACATTACTCCTAAACCTATACCAGACGAACATAAAATAACTAGTAAACCTACAGACGACGAGGTTGTTCCTCATATTACGGAAGATAAAAAATCTCCTAAAGAAAGTCCAAAATCTCCAATTAAACCACAAGAACTAGACATTTCTCATGATATTCCAGCAAAACATGATATTAAATCGCCGATTGACAAAAAAGACATTACTCCTAAATCTAAATATATACCAGACGAACCTAAAATAACCAGTAAACCTACTGACGACGAGGTTGTTCCTCATATTACGGAAGATGAAAAACCTCCGAAAAAAAGCCCAAAATCTCCAATTAAACCACAAGAACTAGACATTTCTCATGACATTCCAGCAAAAATTGATATTAAATCGCCGATTGACAAAAAAGACATTACTCCCAAACCTATACCAGACGAACATAAAATAACTAGTAAACCTACAGACGACAAGGTTGTTCCTCATATTACGGACGATAAAAAATCTCCGAAAGAAAGTCCAAAATCTCCAATTAAACCACAAGAACAAGACATTTCTCATGACATTCCAGAAAAACATGATATTAAATCTCCGGTAGATAAGAAAGTCATTATTCCTTTATCTCCAGCTAAACCAGACGAACATGAAATAACTAAAAAACCATTAGACGATGAAGTAGTTCCACATATTACGGAAGATAAAAAATATCCGAAAGAAAGTCCAAAATCTCCAATTAAACCTCAAGAACTAGACATTTCTCATGATATTCCAGCAAAACTTGATATTAATTCGCCGGTTGACAAAAAAGACATTACTCCTAAATCTAAACCAGAAAAACATGAAATAACTAGAAAACATACAGACAACGAGGTTGTTCCTTATATTACGGAAGATAAAAAATCTCCGAAAGAAAGTCCAAAATCTCCAATTAAACCACAAGAACTAGACATTTCTCATGACATTCCAGAAAAACATGATATTAAATCTCCGGTAGATAAGAAAATCATTACTCCTATATCTCCAGCTAAACCAGACGAACATAAAATCATTGAAAAACCTATAGACGACAAAGTAGTACCACATATAACGGAAGTTAAAAAATCTCCTAAAGAAAGTCTAAAATCTCCAATTAAACCAGAAGAACTAGACATTTCTCATGATATTCCAGCAAAACATGATATTAAATCGCCGATTGACAAAAAAGACATTACTCCTAAACCTATACCAGACGAACATAAAATAACTAGTAAACCTACAGACGACGAGGTTGTTCCTCATATTACGGAAGATAAAAAATCTCCTAAAGAAAGTCAAAAATCTCCTAAAGAAAGTCCAAAATCTCCAATTAAACCACAAGAACTAGAAATTTCTCATGACATTCCAGAAAAACATGATATTAAATCTCCGGTAGATAAGAAAGTCATTATTCCTTTATCTCCAGCTAAACCAGACGAACATGAAATAACTAAAAAACCTATAGACGATGAAGTTGTTCCACATATAACGGAAGATAAAATATCTCCGAAAGAAAGTCCAAAATCTCCAATTAAACCTCAAGAACTAGACATTTCTCATGATATTCCAGCAAAACTTGATATTATATCGCCGATTGACAACAAAGACATTACTCCTAAATCTAAACCAGACGAACGTGAAATAACTAGAGAACATACAGACAACGAGGTTGTTCCTTATATTACGGAAGATAAAAAATCTGAAGAAATTCCAAAATCTCCATTTAAGCCGCAAGAACTAGACATTTCTCATGACATTCCAGCAAAACTTGATATTAAATCGCCGATTGACAAAAAAGACATTACTCATAAATTTATACCAGACGAACATAAAATAACTAGTAAAGCTACACACGACGAGGTTGTTCCACATATTACGGATGATAAAAAATCTCCGAAAGAAAGTCCAAAATCTCCAATTGAACCACAAGAACTAGACATTTCTCATGACATTCCAGAAAAACATGATATTAAATCTCCGGTAGATAAGAAAATCATTACTCCTATATCTCCAGCTAAACCAGACGATCATAAAATCATTGAAAAACCTATAGACGACAAAGTAGTACCACATATAACGGAAAATAAAAAATCTCCGAAAGAAAGTCCAAAATCTCCAATTAAACCAGAAGAACTAGACATTTCTCATGATATTCCAGCAAAACATGATATTAAATCGCCAATTGACAAAAAAGACATTACTCCTAAATCTAAATATATACCAGACGAACCTAAAATAACCAGTAAACCTACTGACGACGAGGTTGTTCCTCATATTACGGAAGATAAAAAACCTCTGAAAGAAAGCCCAAAATCTCCAATTAAACTACAAGAACTAGACATTTCTCATGGCATTCCAGCAAAACTTGATATTAAATCTCCGGTAGATAAGAAAGTCATTATTCCTTTATCTCCAGCTAAACCAGACGAACATGAAATAACTAAAAAACCTATAGACGATGAAGTTGTTCCAGATATAACGGAAGATAAAAAACCTCCTAAAGAAAGTCCAAAATCTCCAATTAAACCTCAAGAACTAGACATTTCTCATGACATTCCAGAAAAACATGATAATAAATCTCCGGTAGATAAGAAAGTCATTATTCCTTTATCTCCAGCTAAACCAGACGAACATGCAATAACTAAAAAACTTATAGACGATGAAGTTGTTCCACATATAACGGATGATAAAATATCTCCGATAGAAAGTCCAAAATCTTCAATTAAACCACAAGAACTAGACATTTCTCATGACATTCCAGAAAAACATGATATTAAATCTCATGTAGATAAGAATGTCATTACTCCTATATCTACAGCTAAATCAGACGAACATAAAATAACTAAAAAACCTATAGACGACAAAGTAGTTCCACATATAACGGAAGATAAAAAATCTCCGAAAGAAAGTCCAAAATCTCCAATTAAACCTCAAGAACTAGACATTTCTTATAATATTCCAGCAAAACTTGATATTAAATCGCCGATTGACAAAAAAGACATTATTCCTAAATCTAAACCCGACGAACATGAAATAACTAGAAAACATACAGACAACGAGGTTGTTCCTCATATTACGGAAGATAAAAAATCTCGTAAAGAAAGTCCAAAATCTCCTAAAGAAAGTCCAAAATCTCCAATTAAACCACAAGAACTAGACATTTCTCATGACATGCCAGAAAAACATGATATTAAATCTCCGGTAGATAAGAAAGTCATTATTCCTTTATCTCCAGCTAAACCAGACGAACATGAAATAACTAAGAAACCTATAGACGATGAAGTAGTTCCACATATAACGGAAGATAAAAAACATCCGAAAGAAAGTCCAAAATCTCCAATTAAACCTCAAGAACTAGACATTTCTCATCATATTCCAGCAAAACTTGATATTAAATCGCCGATTGACAAAAAAGACATTACTCCTAAATTTATATCAGACGAACAAAAAATAACTAGTAAACCTACAGACGACAAGGTTGTTCCTCATATTACGCATGATAAAAAATTTACGAAAGAAAGTCCAAAATCTCCAACTAAACCACAAGAACTAGACATTTCTCATGACATTCCAGAAAAACATGATATTAAATATCCGGTAGATAAGAAAGTCATTATTCCTATATCTCCAGCTAAATCAGACGAACATAAAATAACTGAAAAACCTATAGACGACAAAGTAGTTCCACATATAACGGAAGATAAAAAATCTCCGAAAGAAAGTCCAAAATCTCCAATTAAAACAGAAGAACTAGACATTTCTCATGACATTCCAGAAAAACATGATATTAAATCTCCGGTAGATAAGAAAGTCATTATTCCTTTATCTCCAGCTATGGCAGACGAACATGAAATAACTAAAAAACCTATAGACGATGAAGTAGTTCCACATATAACGGAAGATAAAAAATCTCCGAAAGAAAGTCCAAAATCTCGAATTAAACCACAAGAACTCGAAATTTCTCATGATATTCCAGCAAAACTTGATAATAAATCACCGATTGACAAAAAAGACATTACTCCTAAATCTAAACCAGACGAACATGAAATAACTAAAATACCTGTAGACGATGAAGTAGTTCCACCTACAACGGAAGATAAAAAATCTCCGAAGGAAAGTCCAAAATCTCCAATTAAACCAGAAGAACTAGAAATTTCTCTTGATATTCCAGCAAAACTTGATATTAAATCGCCGATTGATAAAAAAGATATTACTCCTAAATCTAAACCAGACGAACATGAAATTACTAAAAAACCTATAGACAATGAAGTAGTTCCACCTATAAAGGAAGATACAAAATCTCTGAAAGAAAGTCCAAAATCTCCAATTAAAATACTGGAACTAGATATTTGTCATGACATTCTAGAAAATCATGAAATTAAATCTCCTGTAGATAAGAAAGTCATTACTCCTATATCTCCAGCTATACCAGACGAACATGAAATAACTAAAAAACTTATAGACGACAAAGTAGTTCCACATATAACGGATGATAAAAAACCTCCGAAAGAAAGTCCAAAATCTCCAATTAAACCACAAGAACTAGACATTTCTCATGACATTCCAGAAAAACATGATATCAAATCTCCGGTAGATAAGAAAGTCATTACTTCTATATCTCTAGCTAAAAGAGACGAACATGAAATAACTAGAAAACCTACTGACGACGAGATTGTTCCTTATATTACGGAAGATAAAAAATATCCGAAAGAAAGTCCAAAATCTCCAATTAAACGACAAGAACTAGAAATTTCTAATGATATTCCAGCAAAACTTGATATTAAATCGCCGATTGACAAAAATGACATTACTCTTAAATCTAAACCAGACGAACATGAAATAACTGAAAAACCTATAGACTTTGAAGTAGTTACACATGTAATTGAAGATACAAAATCTACGAAAGAAAGTCCAAAACCTCCAATTAAACCACAAGAACTAGACATTTCTCATGATATTCCAGAAAAACTTTATATTAAATCGCCGATTAACAAAAAAGACATTACCCCTAAATCTAAATCTATACCAGACGAACATAAAATAACTAATAAACCTGCAGACGACGAGGTTGTTCCTTATATTACGGAAGATAAAAAATCTCCAAAAGAAAGTCCAAAATCTCCAATTAAATCACAACAACTTGACATTTCTCATGACACTCCAGAAAAACATGATATTAAATCTCCGGTAGATAAGAAAGTCATCACTCCTATATCTCCAGCTAAACCAGACGAACATGAATTAACTAAAAAACTTATAGACCATAAAGTAGTTCCACATATAACGGAAGATAAAACGTCTTCGAGAGAAAGTACAAAATCTCCAATTAAACCACAAGAACTAGACATTTCTCATGATATTCCACAAAAACTTGATATTAAATCGCCGATTGACAAAAGGGACATTACTCCTAAATCTAAATCTATACCTGACGAACATAAAATAACTAGTAAACCTACTGACGACGTAGTTATTCCTCATATTACGGAAGATAAAAAGCCCCAGAAAGAAAGTCCAAAATCTTCAATTAAACCACAAGAACTAGACATTTCTCATGACATACCAGAAAAACATGATATTAAATCTTCCATACATAAATGGAATATTACTCTTAAATCTCCAAGTAAGCAACAAGGACCAGTCATTTATCGTGACATTCTAGGAAAACATAATATCGAATCACCGGTAGATAAGAAATATATTACTTCTAAAGCTTTTAGTAAACAACAAGATTTGGACATTGATCATTACATTTCAGATATTGAACTTGCTGAGAAACCAGAGCTAAGCGATAAAATGCTGTATACTAAAGATGTAGGTAAAGTGTCTTTTGGCGATGACATATTTCCCAGTACTTTGAGCCCTCTATTAGTTGAAATTTCCAATGATGATCCAAAAACAAGAGTTCGCAGAGATTTAGTTAAATTAAGTGAATATCCATCTCAAAATGTAAGAGATGATGATTTTTCTTCACAGCCCCATTTTGATGTAGATCATGATTTATATTTGGAACAGCAAATATTGTTGGGATCAACTAAATCTTTGCAATTGGTTTTAGATAAAAGCGATGTATTTTCTTCAGCACAACACACTAGTATATCAGATAGACGGATCATGGAAAGTGAAAGTAGGGAAAAGGTCAAACATACTACTGACATTTCCAGTACACATATTAGTACATTTTCAAGACCAAGTGATTCCAGGAAATATTCTGAGACAGACGTAGAACCACTCTCATCAGAAACCGATTCGTTTTACAAAACGGATCAGCAAACTGTATCAGGAAGCGAATCACATGTTTCAATCATTGAAATGTCACAAACAACTGGCACACAAAAATATGACGTATCGCAATCTGATATAATAATGACTGACGATATATTAGAAGTCACTGTTACAGCTTATGATCTACATCACACTGCTTCCAAGAAAAAGCAACAGGTTGAGAGCGAACCATCTAAAAAGAAGGTATCATCTAAACAAATTCCTAAATTAAAAGCAGCCAAAATTAGACATGATCAAGATGTCAGTTCTGATGACGAAAAAATTGTCCATACCAAACCGTTGTCAAAAACTAAAGTTACCAAGAAAAGTTCCAAGCAAAAAAGTGAAGTCACAGCTTCTACTACCACTCCTTCGGTTACAAAATCAGAGAAAATTACCAGACAGAGAACTGAATCGACAAGTTCTAGAACTGTTTCTAGCAGTTCACGATCTGTTAAGAGTTCGTCTGTTTCAAGTTCGGTTTCTAGAGTATCGAGTAGCGACAGCACTTCTAGAGAGACCATCAAGCAAAAACCGGATAAGAAATTGGACTACTTGAAAAGAAAAACCGTGCCATATAATCCCCCAGAAATCACACACGTCGTCAAAAAATATGACAAAAGAGTCCATGGATATATGATGTCTACTCTGTCGAGTAATATGAAGAATATTAAAAAGGATAAACGTGAAATAGACAATTCTAACGAAAAATTGAAACAAAAACTCAAATTGGAAGAGCAATCTATTTCCAAAGAGGAAAGCAAAATCGAAATGGAGTCTAAACATTCGTATACAAAAGCAACTTTTTCTGCTAAGCAAAAATCTAGAGAAGGCACTCCAACCAAAACAGTCAGAGATAGTACTCCAACAAAAGCAGTTAGAGACGGTACGCCAACAAAGACTGCTAGAGATAGAACTCCTACGAAAATTAGTAAAAACGAGGAGAAAAAGGCATCTTCAGTGCATTTAACTCCTAAAAAGAAATCTAGAAGAAAGACTATTGATTCTAATAAAACAGTACAAGCAGAAAAGCTAATCATAAAGGAGGATATCACTAAGATTTACAAAGGAGAAGTATTTAGAATAGACAGTCCCAAACCTAGTCCATCCCCTACGAAACTTCGTCGTACAATTGTCAGCGAACATATCAAAAAATTGTCCCATTCTACTGACAGACCGTCCTTTGATAAAACCGTCCAGTTCGCAGACCGCGCGCGCAGTCAAAGTGTCATTCCCACTACTTATTACGAGCTAATCGAAGAAGGTCGCAAGAGCGCGAGCCCAACCTCTCTTCCTGGCAGTCCTATCAGAGTGAGATCAGCAAACGGATGTACGAAGCAACTCACATCTGAAGTCTTCACTAGGACCCAAAATTACACTGGGTCTATAGAGGTTATTTACAGACAGCCCTACGAGAATATACGAAAAGTAGCGTCTGCTTTGAAAAACGAGACAGAGATGTCCCTAATAGATACTACCGATTCTAGCTTATCGGAATCTGTCGCGTTACCTAGCTCACCATCGGATCACGATGTCAGTTCTGATGCCAACGGCCGATTTAAGTCCTTATCGCCTACTTCGCCTAAAGCTCGCCGCTCTCTTGAATCCATTCACGAATCCTGCCATAGAATGTCCGACCTGATCCTTTGCGCCGACATTCGCGAAGACCGAATGATACAAGAAACCGAATTACCCAGAAAGCTTGTTATGTCCCAATACGGAGAATTGAAGCAAGAATCTACCAATAGAGAATATACTATCCACAAATCCGAAGAGCGACTGTCGCCTATTCTAGATGTCCAAGTGATCTCGCCCTCTAGAAGGCAGTTTCAGTATGAGTATTTAGAAGGAAGTACTTCAAAAGGTAACACTTCCTCAGTGCTACCCGACTCTAAAGCGGTGTCATCCCAGAGCATGGCTTCTCGAATAGACACAAGTAAAGAGGTATAAATCCGAGTACTGTCGCGTAGATTTTTTTCTTACTTGCCCACGTTGCATTTGGATTACACTGTTCAGTAAGAATTGCTACTAGAGGTTTTCAGATCTAAGTATGACGGCAGGTGACGCGTTTTATTGCTTAGTCGGTTTGGCTTTTTGAAATCTTTGAGAAGTATCCCTGAGTGTAAATACAAGTGCATGCGATTATATGGTTTAAGCGTTGGGTGCTATTTTTGTTAATATCAATCTTGTAGATCATTACATTTTCTAGTATATCGCGACAAATAACATAGTTTGGTTTGTATTTACTGTGAGGCGACACTTATACTCAATTCCAGAATCCAAACTGACTACGCGATCAGATTTAAAAAATCTGTCACTTCAAGATATAGTAAAATATAAGAAAGTAACAATTACGATTACTAATTATGGCCATCTCTACTGTCTATACTTTGTATGTGTTTAAAACAATATTGAACAGTGTAATGGACAAATGAAGTTGAATGAGTAAGAATGCTTTTAAAAAATTAGTAATAACTGCCCAAACCAAGTAGAATTGCATGCTAGATATATAAAACTATTTTCTCTGAACCATCAAGTCAACTGCCATCCTATTATTTTTGATATCAAGTGTGTTATATACGTGATGGTAAATCTCTTATACATTATTTTGAAAATAAAAGGAAGGGCTTGATTTTTTCTGAACAAACTGTATAAGGTAAGTATTTCGTAATAGTCCGCATCGGAAATATTTTTTAACTCAGAACAGTAAGTCATCTCTTTCAATGTAGAAACCAATGGGATACATAGTACTATGAGTAACAATTCTTGATTCGAAACATTTTTATTGTAGCTATCCCATCCAATTATGGATTCAACATCGACGATACCAAAAATCGCAGTAACACATGATGACCAAAGCATAGACGACAGCAACTATTTCACGTTAACAGAAGCATTAACCGACATAGAAGATTTAGACGACGATGAATACTCTAGACCTAAAACAGAAATCAAATCTAAACTCAGAATAAAACTAATCCACGACGACGCGTTGACAGATCTCGAAGATTTCGAAGCTTCGGATGAAGAAGATGATAAAAGCGTTAAAGCTATTATACCACATAGTGAACCAATAAATCTAGACGATCTAGATCTAGAAGGTGGTATCTTTGAAGAGTCGTATAAAACGCAAGTGAAAACACAGAAAGGTAAACGGAAATTAAAAACCCAAAGTTCTACTTCCCAAATCAAAAGTAAAGAAATAGACTACAAGATATTCGAGAACTACACTGACGAGGAAATTTTTGATACAGACAACGAAGTAATAAAAGACATTATCCGCGAAACTGACATAGATCTAGACTCCTACAATGTGGAAAGCGTTAATATATCCGATAACGCAAACAAAATATCTAGATCGCCATCACCCTTACCCAATTTCAAAAGTGATTCTTTTCTAAACAATCAACAATTTTTGAGCGCTCTGTCTTTGTCGCCCAACATATCAGATTTAACAGACGTCGAAGTGTTGCTCTCAGATTCAGACAGCGAAAAATCCTTCAAGAAAGCCAAACCGAAAAGAAGAAGACATAGAGGAAACAGAAGAGCTTCCGTTACGGATGTAGAAGATTTGGACGTATCAGATGATGATTCTAGATTTGCTTCTTACGTTAAACCTAAGAGAAAGTCGCAGTCTAAGATTACCATAAAGCAGCATGTGTCACCCTATGATTCGGATAACGAAGATAATTTTCGTATACCTTTCCCTATATGTAAAAAAATTGCCCAGAAGAAGCAGAATATCTTGAACATACCGGAATTTGATACTAACTTTCCTACTGACATTGAAGATTTCGGTGATATATCTGAAAATATACCTATCCCCGAAGACTCTAAAGAAGAAGATGCAGCGTTAGAGGAAAAACTAGACGAAATGGCGAGTTACTATAGCGATGTAAAGGAGGCACACAGTTCAGTAAAAAATAAGAAAGTTTGCAGAGCGCAATCTTTTAAAAGTGACGATACCATCAACGATGCTGATACTGACAGTGACATCTGTCAAACTGAAACTAGCGATAAAGAAAAAAAGGATGAAGAAGAAGATAGCGTAATTTACGATATTAAATTTGAGACCACTCCAACTGTCGAAACAAAAATTAAATCTAAATCAAACTTGCTATTACAAGTAGTTAAAGATGAAGATCCGGTTACAGATTGCGAGAATGTGGATAGCTCAGATGAAGAAGTATTTAAAACCATTCCGATAGCTTTAGCAGAACATATAGCGGCTGTTACGGATGAGGAAGATTTTGGAGATGATACTGATGACAGCAATAATACACCGGAAATAGAATTGCCTCCACCAGTAAGAAATTTGATTATCCTTAAGGATAATGAAGCATTTCCAACTATCCAAATTCTTCCTTTAACTGACGAATCACCAATTCAATCACCTGAAGAATCCATGAATGTTGAAACTGATGAAGAAAGTGTTTCTGAAGGGGAGGAGGCTGTAGAAGGCATAATGCCAATTTCGATATCAGACTTTAACCTGCTAGACTGCGGAATCATAAATGAGAGCGAACATGTACAAAAGCAATCTAAGAAACTTCAAGTTCCAATAAAAGATGACGAGAATGACTTAACAGATACAGAAGAACTCGTAATGAGTACAAGAAGACGTAGACCACCAAAATTCAAGCACATGCATGAAAGATTCATGGCTGAAAAGAACAAATTGTCGGTTAAAAACGAACCCGCAAAAGATTTAACTGATACTGAAGATGTTGTACTTAGTGATGGTAATTCAGATGAATTTCACAGCTTATCGCCTTTAATTAATCTACCATGCGTAGCTCAAGAAGCTTTAACAGACGTGGAAGTAATTGGTAATAGTACGGACGATGAAAAACATTTTAGAGAGCTATCTTGTACTCCCGACCATATGAGACAGTTGAGCGGAAATATGGTGATGAACAAAGAAGGTTCTGGACCATTTTCACTGCAAGAGCGCTTACTGGTAAATAAACCTTTGAAGATGGTAGGTAATATGGCGATTACTCCATCTCATACTGATACAGAAGACCTAGTAGCTTCAGCTGATGAGGATGCGAGCTACTCTAGAGCTGAAACAGCTACTCCTAATCAGATACATATAGATTTGGATCAAAGCAGTAAGATCGTATCTGAGAGCAAGAGAAAATTGGGACCAGAAGGGTGTATGTATTTAAAGGGAGGTGGATATATTCACCAGTTAACTGACGTAGAGTACATTTCAGAAGAGGAGGGTCATTTTAATAATAAAGTTCAACCGGTATTAGTTGGAATTACATCGGAGTGTGATTTTAAGATTTCGTTGAATTTTCGCGATGGGTCTGCGTGCTTCAAAGGAGAAAGAGGTTGGTATTTTTGTTACAATTTTTTGAATGCATAAATATGTTTGATTAAGGACCGGGTATCCATTTGTTGCTTTACCTCTGATCTTTGCACATAGTTTTGCTTTTTCAATTTAGATTCTAGTGGATTTTTTATTCTTTTTGTGTAACGAAATCAGAATTTTGGGAATTCTAACAATACGCTTATACATTGCTTATATAAAATAACTCCTAAATTCATTATTAGCTAAATACATAATCATATTAAAAATTCCCGAAATAGGTCGATTTTAATTTACTGTTTTTATATTAATAATAACAATCTAATATACAGGATGAACTACCTTCGTGTCATGACGTCATCGTCATATTTACTCCTATAATCTTTGGATGAGTTTAATTTTCCCTCTGTTCAAATAATTTTCTAGAAATCTGAAATACTTTTTAGTTTAAAAACGAACATTTTTAAACATCGTGATTTAAAAAGTTTCCATGGGATGACGTCACGGCTGACCTAGCAGAAATTGAACTAATTGAGTCATTGAATTTGGTTGACAATTAATTTTTCATTGAATTTGGTTGACAATTCATTTGTCATACAATAAATTTCATTGTTTAAAAAAGTTTAAAACTTTTGGATAATGCAAAGTAATTATTTATAACTTTATAGTTGATGTAATACTAATATTTAGTGATTATGTATACGACAATTCAATCAAAATGGATAAAAAAATCGCCGAATGTGACCGGATATTAAAAATTAAAAAACATTTTTAAGAAAGAAACGAAATTAATAAAAGTGTTTGGGAATGTTATAACAAAAATAAAGTGGCATTTTCGGTGGTATATTTGGAAATTACTATCTTTCCTAAAGCCTAAAATGTAAGTTTTAAAAAATAATTGGATTATTATGAAAAGGGAGAATGTACCGTATGTACGGTAATTTTTCTTGTGCATTGTGGGCCGAACGATGCACACGTTATTAAAATGTTAGGGAAGAAGATTCCCAGACCGTTTCCGAGTTAATTCGAAATTAAATTGTGCTGCGCCGAGCCGGGGGTACTACCAGAATCATAGATTCTTGGGATTGTGATCATGGCCTTTTAACGACACCGCATAGTGTTGTGTTCTCAAGTGTCCCTCCAGTAACGCGCCAAAAAGGAGATCTACCGCTGTTCCCGGCGTGCCTTTGTGTGCGCAGTTGCATTTTCTAGTTGTGTTTATTCTACCCATTATGCCAGACGTGTCTGGATGATGCCCAGTTAAATTTAGTTTATTTAGGACCTAGCTGTGGCGGTAGTAGTTTTAAAGTTCCTACCTTAAGTTCCATGGAGCTCGTTTATGTTCCGAATTGATTCCTTGATGTCATGCAATTATCAGAAAACGATGTTTGGGCTAGTATTATGAGAAATACAATTATTGGTCTAAATTTTTTTAAATAAAATATAACAGGAGCAATGAAATTCGTACAAAATACAATAATTCCTGAATTGGCCGAGCTATTTCCTGATATTTAAATAGACCGCAGAATCTGGTTTAAATACTGCCACATTACGCTCGAGTTTTTAAACAGAACCTTTCCACTTCTGTTAATAGGAAGAAAAAGAACAGTGGCATGGCCCGCTAGATCACCTGATCTGAGACTTCATTTCATAGGGTTATTTAAAATCTAAAGTCTGTGTTAACGGACCTCAAAATATCCGTGAAATTAACACCCGCTGTGCTACAAAATATTAGAAATGAATGTATTACCTGGTTAAGTTATTTTCTTTTGTTTGTTTTTGGTATGTATTACAGAAATTGCATAACTACGTAATTTCATTTAATTCGTATATTATTTGCTAGTAACTTAATTTTTGTATTTTTGCCTGTCCTATACTAATTTGAAGCAACCTATGAAACATTTTTGGAATCTGCTTGAAAACGCAAAATCCGAAATTAGAAAAAATGGTGTTTTATTTGAAAAAATTGGGAATGACTTCATCACGCAAAGGTATATTAGATGATTATTTTAAAAAACAGTAAATTAAAATCAAAAATAGATCTGCTTCGGAATTTTTAATAGTATTGACTATTTCTATGGTCTCTTATTCCAGTATTAATTATTTGATTTTTATTGAAATGATAGCCTTTAGGTACACTGTCCGCTCTCTCAGAGCTCTAAAAATCTCTCTTGGTTCAAAAAAAAAAAAAAAAAAATAATAGTAATAAATCAGTTAATTAGAAGCATATTTTTAATATTTTTGGAAAAGTTGAAACCACTCAGTGTTTACCTGGAAGTTATTTCAAAAAATATTCTATGTAGGTAATTATTGATAGTTAACAAACATTGGCTTTAATTGTATAATTATGAAAGGCAAAATTATAGACAAAATTGGCAATAACAGTAAGTAAAAATTATTAAACTTAAATTCATTATAAAAAGTGTGTCTCATTGAGAGATTTATTAATATAAATTTTTATAACGGATTTAAAAAGTTTTTTATTTAAAATTACTAACAATAATACATTGGCATGACTAAAATTTAATTGGCATTTCTCCAGATTCAAAAAAAATTAAAACTATGTATAAATTTTGATTAACAAACACCAACTACCATCGGGTAAGTCCTAGAAAATAAAGAATATTTATAAAATTCCGCCCGAATTAGCTCATTTAGTTATCTAAAAATTAACTGAGTAAATTTTATTTTTCTATTTTTGTTTTATAGAATGGGAAGCCTCCAGAAAGCCGCAAGGTCTCCGATTGGAGCCCACAGCTCCAGCACTAGAAAAGGAAGCAGCACAGAAAGGTAAGAAGTCAAAAAAAATTGTTTTTTTTATATTTTAATCAATCCAAAATATGCTCGGATCGAGCAAATTTTTTTAATACAGTATTTTGGATCGATTTTTTAACAAATATTTTGAAAATATTTTAGATTTACTCGCTAATATTCTGTTACCATTTATTTTTTGGAAAAACATAAGATGTATTCTTACAATATAGAAAAGTTTCTAAAATATCTACACCTTATAACTTTTAAACGAATTAAGATATAAACGACTGGTTTTCACTAAACTCTTTCAAATTGCAAGTTTTTCGGAATTATTTTATTTTTTGTCACTTTCTTTGGAAAAACAAAATAGTGCTTTTTTAAAGTTTTTAAATGGAGCTCTTTCTTTTTTGGTAGATAATTGTTAGAACGCATAAAATAAATATTAAAAAAATCAACCAGAAAAATAGAAAACCACCAATTTGCGTTGGTGACGAAAAATATTAGGTGAGTCTGTACAAAATTTGTAATTTAAAACATTTCAGTTATAATCGATTTTATTTTGTTAGAATTTGTAAGTTGTTATATAGGGTGTTTCAATGGCTAATGGGTTTCCAATTCTTTTTAACATAGTTACAGGGTAATTTATTCAGTTTCTTTCATTAGTTTTAACATTACTTGTTTTTGCATAGTTGCAAATTCATTGTATCCGTTAATAAACAAAATAAATAAACTTCTAAAACGAGTTTTTACAAAAATCTTTTTATGGCACTTATGGGTAAGGTGAGTCGTTAATAAAGTGGATAAAACAAATAATTCATCCTGTTTCTGTGTTATGAAATTTCGGCAGATCACTAAATATCGGTTAGTTATATCTATATCGGTGGCCCTTAATTCAGGAATTCAATCAAAATTTCAGACAAATATTAAAATAAAAAATATATAAAAACAAATGGTAATAAAATATTAAAGTAACTATTTTTTAAACAAAAATTAACATGCAGGTATTTTTAATTCCATCATTTCACACTAGGAGCACCACCATCAATCGCTAACAACCATTCATTTTATTTTAATTTTTTTTACTTTTTTATTTTTTTTTTTTTCAATTTTTGTTTAGTTCTGAAGCCAGAGGATGCTCTTTGTGCATTACTAACACATTTTGACACACAAAAATCGCTTCCATTATCGTTATTTTTCAGCTTTAAAATAAACTACGATTCATTCTGAAAAGTATATTTAAGCAATTTTTAAGCTTTTCAGCTATATTCAGGCAAGTAATACTCCTCTACAGCTTACAGCTACTTGAGCAACTTAAAAGAGAAAAAAATATATACACAGAAACTGCACAAATACAGCATGCGCATGCGCGAAATTAATTGAAAAACTATTTACGAAAGAATAAACAATAAAAAAAAAATCGTGCATTTCCGGCACAGCTTTAGCGAATTTCGGCGTTTAAAATTTTTAAATTCACTTTTTACAATCACGAATCATTTCACATCTCATTGGCAAATTTAACATAAAATACAATTCTGAGTTTGGTGCCGTGGGGATCTAGATAAGGTTTCGATTGACTTAAGTGGTTAATTATTTAAGAAAAAGTTCTTTAAAACCTTTAAATTTTTTGTAAAGATCGTCGACTAACGGTATGCATACATTATTTTTTACACGGTGTAACCAAGCGATTTTTTGGAAGTGCTATTGATAAAAATCGAGTTTCAGAAGGTTATTCTAATGTCTTTTCGCATTAATATTGATGGTCATTTAGTAGGTAAGACACTGTAAAAACTGGAATATTTCTGCAAAGCTGGCTGTCACCTTATCTAATACAACTGGTATAGAAACCATCGCTGTTGTAATACAAGAGGATTGTCTAAACCAGCACTGCCACCAAATGTAGTACTTAACAGTACCCGATCATTTTTAATTTTTTTTTACAACAGTCTGATGATTGTTGGAAAATAAATGATTTTTAATACCAAGGTTCGTCTTTCAAATATCTTTATAATGAAACAAAAATGTATTAAAAATTATCCTTAATCCTTGGTCATTCAAGGATGATAACTACCTGGTAGTTCAACAAGTACTATATCGGTGATCTTTAAAATTAGATATAAACTAGAAAGCCTAATGCGAAGAAATCGAAGATTTTCCGCAAGCACCAGTGCTTCAAAAGCCTCTTTCAAGAGATCCACGCCGCACTATTAGTGCCCCTATCAAAGATGATAGCATTAAACTTCTGTTGTCAACACACTTCCATGACTTGGTCATCACACACCGACTAGACAGAATATAACCCATATGTCTATGACTGGCAAACTGCAAAAAACATTGTTAACAAAGACCAAATTAAATGTAAATATCTAGTTTCTCTCCATTTAAGTCACCAAGATCTGACGGTTATACTCAGTCCTACTTCAGTGGACTCTGGCAGAACTCACACGGCACCTGGTAGGTATATTGATCCTCGTGGCTCTGAAGTATATCCCTAAAAAATGCAGAGAGGTAAAAGTGGCATTCTTGTCCAAACCTGGAAGGTTAGATTACACTGTCCCAAAAACACACCGGCCAATTAGCCTAACATCGTTTGCATGGAATAGATTGCAAAGGCTACATAAAGCTCTCTCCAAACGTTACAGATAAATAAAAACAAACCTAGTTATTACAGATATATTCCAAATTTATATAACTTCAGCCACTAATAGTGACAACGTAATTAGAGGCAAATAAATTACATGCTAAAATATTATTGCTTGGAGTTTAGACGTTATACATATTTCTAACCTCATTTTAAAAATTTGAAATTACAGTTCATCTTTTTTGTTGTCTATAATAGTACATAATATGGAAGAGGCATTATAAATAACCTTTTAGAAGGTTTAGATAACGATGATATTAAATATTTAATATTAAAAGACTTCGAATTGATACAAATGTCGGCGAGTGCACCCAAAAGCTATATGCTATATGCTGTCCTTAAATACCACAATTAAAGACAGGCACAATCTTTAATAAAGTCAGTTCTAGAACGTAAACGATCTGCGCTTCCTTAGATGTCAAAATAAAAGCGGCGCTAACAGTGACTTGCCTTGAGTAAAAATTAGTCTATACTGATGCTTAAAGAAAACCTAAATCAATAATTTCCACCTGAAATTTACCTATCAAATTCAATTATAATAATTCCATTAAAGTTGAAAATAATTTTAGAATCAATAATCATCATCAGTTTAAACAAAAAACTATGCATGCAGTTATCGTTGATAAGAAATTATTAGTCTAAAAAAAGCAATCGATACCCAAAATTACCCCCACAGCACCGGCCCAACCCCAAAATTTATCGATACTACTAACCAAAACAAAATGTATTTATTTACACTTTGGTTAATGCAAAGATATTTAGCTAAACGAATTTTTTCACCAGATTTATCGCTACCCGGCACCCAGTTCATAACTTACGAAAGCGTGCTCTTGCCAAGTAACAGTGTGTCCTATGTATCCTTAGACCAATCTTCAGAGCTACCCCTAATTCATAGAACCACCTCGTACACTCACATCGACGCTATGCTCGAAAGCATGCTGTTCGAAGTACAGAAACAGGAGAAACTGTTCGGGTTGGATTTTGATTTGATCGAACCCGAGCAGCAGTGTAGCAATTCCTTGGAATTACTGCCCAGTACTGATGCTTTGATAGAAGTGCCCATCAAGAAAATAGTTAAGAAACGCAAAATATACGAAACCACGCAGCAAATATTGGTAAATCAAGACGAACCGCCTCCAGATCTAATCACGTTCACCGAAACACCACCATCAGATACGTATCAAAACTACGAAGACATAGATTTCCCGCAAAGTCTAGACGATATATCAAAAAGCATCGAAACATTAATAACCACAGTAGAAGCGGATGAATCAAAGCTTCTAACGGCTAGACCAGAAGACGAATACTTAGAAAAGCCCTACACTTATAAAATAGATTTCCAAAGAGCCAACACTGCTTCTAGCGAATCGCTAAGCGATTATTATCCTGACAGTTGGAACGATCCCAATGAACAGAGAGAATCGTCAGTCGAAGACGATTACGATTTTATGGACTTGCATCCTGTCCAATTGCGCGACAGCAGAACAGGTAACGAAATCTGGTGGGAAGGTACTTACCGCAACCTTAGTATTGTACCAGAAGAAGACGAGGAGAATCAAAGCCTATTGAGCAGTTGCCACTCAAATAAAACTTACACCAACAAACAATATACTCCATTAGTAGAAACTAAACCACCAGAATTGGGTAAAGATACCTCTTTCGAAATGGACGATTCTACTGATTACAGTTCTTCTAGGGCTTCTAGCAGCTCTGAAGGCTCTTACGATGTCAGTCAGAAACTGGTCAAAGCTGAGGTTAAACTTATGGTGAAAACAACGGACGGCGGTAAGGAAGCTATAGAGATACGATCTGTTAGGGAATTCATGGATAACCCTAATAAAACTATTGAAGACGATCATAAAAATTCCAAGGAAAAGAGCCAGACTCTTCCTAGTAAGCTGAGCGAGAAGTTGAGTAATTTAACTCAGAAATTTAGTGGATTTCTGGATAAAAAGAAATCTAGCTCCTACTCGCCTCTATTAGAAAAAAATACCGATGAGATATTTAATGGTAAAAGTAGCAAACCTTCTTTTACTTTACAGAATTTGTTTGTTAGAAACTTGGAACCTGATAATCAAAATAATAGCTTAGCAGCTTCAAAGGAGTTATCGAAAAGCAAAACAGAGCTACTCACTGCTTCTAATCAACGTTTCCCCTTGGAATTTATTCCAAATACTCCACCCATAGACGACTCTCAAAGAGTAGATCTATTTGCAAATATCCCTTTCTATCCCTGCTACAAACCATATCCCGATTCAGATGTATCTATCCCTACTCAATTCGTTTCCAATCCTTTTACCGAAAACCGGCAAATTCCTGAAGCATACTGTGATTGGCTACATCAAAAAGAGGACGATGTTATAGGTAAAGTTAGAGTTTTGATTTGCTGGGTTCTAAAAAAATTCATCTAAAAATTAAATCGTTGAAGGCTGAATATTTAAAATATTTAATAATGTTAAAGAGAAAAGTAAAACAAGAAATGCGCTAATTGAAATGAAGTGCTTCCACCAATTGCTATCCAACTCCACTACACACTCATTAATTCAACTGATGGACAATAGTTGTGTTTAACTAATCTTGGTGCTTCCACCAAGTTCTACCCACCTCCATTGCGGTTGTACCCCTTGATCCAACTGTCTGACCAGCGTTGTGTTTAACTAATCTAAGTAGAATATGCTGTCCTTTAATTTATTGTTCTTACCAAGTTGACTGGATTATCTACTCTATAGCTACTATCTAAACTAATGTGAGACCTATAAGTCGTACCTGTACTTAACTTTGATCAAAATATACAAACATTATTTCATACCCAAGTGGCAAAACTGCCTTCCCTGATTATTTGAACACTCAGCTTTAACAACAAACTACACCTGCTTTTGCTAAAGAGTTTGGTTTTTAATTCTGTGGATGATATAAATAGATATATGATTTTTTCTTTAATCTAGATGCCAGCACAATTAGCACTAAATACACTGTTTTACGATTCACTAAGCCGACACATGTTTCACTGACGTGATTAGCACTTTCGGCTGATTTCAGTTGGCGAAACACAATATCAACGATTTTTTTGATTTGATGAATTTTTAAAGCCTCTAACTCGTGCTGACTCATACGCATGGGTTTGGATTGTAGTTAGATTTGTTTTTCACTAATAATATTGAAAAATCCAAAGCAAAAAATATCGTGCATTAGCCAAGGTAAGATCATTAATATTCCAGGCGGAAAAGTTGAATTTTTACAACCAGTGAATTTTTTAACAATTTAAATTTAAGGTAAAAAATGACATTAAAAATATTTGATTCAGACTGTGCTCCATAATAATATATGCATTTAGATCACGAAATTGGTGTTGAATAAAAATCTTGTTTTTTGGTGATCTTACGGTAAAGCTGTTAGAATACAAAATTGAGATAATAAAATTATTCATCATCGTACACTGCAAGAAATAGGTTTCCTTCATTTTTTGCCACGTAGAACGATCCTATGTTGCATTTATCCAGTTGATAGATATCTACTCTCATTAAGATCCATTATGTTGTAGGACGTCCTGCTTAGGTGGCCATTTGATGATCTTTTTGGTAACCTGCCATGCTTCACCCTTTCAACGTAGTGTACCCAACTGTCTCTGAAATATATAATTCATTCTTTTCTACTTTACTTTTTTGTCGGACTATTATATAACACAAAAATTTGCTTTAATTAAATATACAACTAGGACCTGAGATATTTTTTAAATAGACGCGAACAACTTCTTGATAGAAAATTTAATTATTTTCAGTATTGTTTACATACAATTTTATCGTAAGATAGAACACATGTTACCAAATTTTGCATATTTAAAGGTAGATAGCACAGCTCTAAAGTAATCAAAATTTTGTTGTTATTTTTAAATTGTTAATGACTGATACGATTTTGCGGAAAGAATAAGTCCCGCCTGGATAATATATTATTACGATTGATTTGAAAATAAAAACCATATGTGATAAAACGATATTTAAGGTTAAGTTTTGGTAGTTTAGAAAAGCTTGTTGGAAATTGCATGTTCTTACAGGAAAAACGACAATAACTCGTACCGAAGACAAATCGTTAAGCCCTAGCCTTATTGGTTTATCTACCGATCGACCATTCGTTAACAAAAAAACGCTATACGACCTAACCAACGCTCTGATTCAGTCTGAGTCACGCGCTGAGCCCTATCACCATCATACCGAGAAAAACTACAAACTCGATAAGCATGATTACACGACCGACGATGAGTCATCGGCTCCTATTCGAGAAGAAAAGAAGAAGAAACGGGGCATTTTCGGTACTCTCAAAAATTTTGTCGGAAAATCCTTGGAATCCGACTCCGAATCCGAGAAATCCTCTCCGAAAAAAGAGAAAAAGAAGAAAGAAAAGAAGAAGAAAACGGTCCAACTCCCATCCGAACTCCCCACGGGTGCTGGCAAAAAGCCCAAGCTCCCAACGCCACCCCCTGAACGAAAATACGACGATATACCATATTTCGAAGCTTCACCTACAGACATACCAGTCCATCAACTGGAAATCACTAAGCACCAAAAAACCAAAGCGACCCATACACCTGTCACAGACTTGGATAGTCCCGATTACGACGTACCACCCAATATCACACACAAAGCCAGAGAAATCGTAACAGCTGTCCTTTCCGATGGAGAACAAAGAGCTAGATCTAGATCGAAATCGCCCAAAAAGCAAAAGACATTCGTAATCGAAGAAAAAGTTACGAAAACCATCGCTCCTCTCACAATAGAAGAAGAGGAATTCACCATAACAGTCGATCCCAACAAGAAAGGGTCACCGAAAAAAACCAGAGAAACCTTTACACTAAACATCGACGAAAGCGTCGAACAGAAAGAGAAAGAAATTCTAGAAAAAGCACCGATACTTCCAGAAGAAAGCTTGATTAAACCGATGGTCCAGATGCAGCATCCCATCAAGCATATGCGCAGCCACGTTTACGAAGATATTCTAGAACAACAGCTACATCTATATCCGCAACAACCAGACATTAAAAAAGCCACTACCGACTTAATTCAAAACGAGATATCATTCACAGGTTGGGCTGATGATAAGCACAATCTTTACAAACCTACACCTCGTGCACGATCTCCTGAACTCGATACCAAAGAACCTGAAAGTAAAATAACCGATAGTCTGAAGATGAAGCGCAAGCAAGGCAAGCTATTTGGTTTGTTTGGCAAGTCTTCCAAAGACGTAGACGATTCAGACGACGACAGTAGCAAAAGAGAAGTTATCGAAAAGCAAGACAAAGAAACGTCCAAAGAAATTGAACACGAAATCATTAAAGAAGAATTATCTAAGTCACCTAAACTGAAAAAAGGAAAAAGTAAGGATAAGGACGATAAAAAGTTCTTGGGTATATTCAAGATAAAACCTGAGGTCAAGACTACATTCTCTGATACGGCGATTAAAGAAATGATCGACTCCACAGCTTTCTTAAAGGAAGAAGTTGATAAATATCATGATGTTAGACCACTAGCAATGATTTCTGAAATTACTCAACCAACGGTTACAGAATCACCTGAAAAAGTTGTCTCCGAATTGAAAAAATCCGCTCCTCAATTCTTCACATCCCAAGAAACTACCGAAGTAATCACCACCACAACCAATACAGTAACAAGTACTATCAAAGATGAAGAAAAGACTGGGTCCTTGGATATATTCAAAAAGAAAGGATCTGAAGAAAGAGATAAGAAACCGGATCCAATTCCAATATCTATCGACGTTATTAGGGATATGAACGATTGTGAAATATTTTTAAAAGACGAAATTCACCGATACCACGACGTGAGACCAATTGTTAAACAACAACAAGTAGAAGAAAAGCCACCCACTGTTCCCGCAAGAACTAAAAAGCAGGCCAAACCATTAGAATCTACTGTAATAGAAAGCACAAAAGTAACAACAAAGACTGTATCGCCCCATGAAGTTACAGAGCAAGTAGTTCAAACAAGAACAGTAGAAAAGGTACCCGAAAAGGTCATATATGTACCAAAAGAAGGCGAACTTCTTAAAGAAAAAGAAGCATCACCTCCAAAAGAAAAGGTATCACCTAAAAAAGAAAAGAAAAAAGTGGAGAAAGATGGAGGACTGTTTGGAATATTCAAAAAGAAAGGCGGCTCTATGGAAAGAGAAATTAAATGTTCAGAAATTAGACCTGTTTTATCAGACATCACTACAAAACATATGTCAGAAAGTAATAATTTCTTATCAGAAGAAATAAACAGATTTCATGATGTACGTCCAATGGTAAGCAAAGTAATTGCAGAGCAAGAAATTCCAGTTGATACTAAAGAAACCGTAACAGTTGAACAAAAATCTTCACCTAAAAAGTCTAAAACCAAAGGAGATAAAGAGTCTGGAAGCCTCTTCGGTATCTTTAAGAAGAAGCCATCAGAAGAACGTGAAGTTACAGTTGAAACCACCCCCTTGGAGAGCAAGCTTATTCTTTCAGACGTCACAGTGAAATACATGGAAGACAGTAACAACTTTTTGAAAGACGAAATTGAAAGATATCACGATGTTCGACCAGTACTAACTCAAATAGTAACAGAAATTAAAGAACCTGTTAATATCGTGCAGATAGAAATTAAAGAAATTCCCAAAGAAATATCCCCAAAAAAATCTAAAGTAAAAGGTGATAAAGACAGCGGCATATTTGGTATATTCAAAAAGAAAGAACCCACAGAAAGAGAAGTTAAAAGCAAACCTGCTCTATCAGATCTCACTTTGGAAAACATGGCTCAAAGTGATACCTTTTTGAAAGATGAAGTTGATAAATATCACGATGTTCGTCCAATTGTTACAGAAACCGTCAGTGAGGTCATGGAACCACCAATAGTAGAACAAATAACTATTAAAGATACCGTTCAAGTCGAAGAGAAAATAGAAGCTTCGCCTAAAAAAGGGAAAAACGAAGATAAAGAAGCTGGCATTTTTAGTATATTTAAAAAGAAGCCTTCAGAAGAAAAGGAAGTTGAAGTTAAAACTGTTAGTCTTGTAAGTAAAGCTCTTTCTGACACAACTTTAAAACATATGAATGAGAGTAATAGGTTTTTAAAAGACGAAATTGACCAATACCATGATGTTAGACCAGTTATACCTCAAGTAACAACAGAAAATATCGCTGACCTGGAAGTTAAAGAAATACCCAAGCAAGGTAAACAAAAAGATATATCACCCAAAAAATCTAAGGATGGTGGACTTTTTGGCATATTCAAAAAGAAAGAACATACAGAACGAGTGAAGACTGTAGGTTTAGAAGGGAAACCAGTTGTTTCTGAAGAAACTTTGCAGCATATGTCCCAAAGTGACAATTTCCTTAAGGATGAAGTTGAGAAATATCACGATGTTCGTCCCATAATAACTGATAAAGTAGAACCCGCACAAGTCGAACAAATTACCATAAAAGAAACTGTAAAAATTTTAGAGAAGTCTGATGCAGCCAAAATTGTAGAAAGTTCTTCTGAAATCACTTTGACACACATACCTGAGAATGAGAAGTTCTTAGAAAAAGAAATCCAAAAATATCATGACGTTCGTCCAATAGTACCTGTAGCAGTAGTCAAACAAATGCCAGTTGAACACTTAGAAATTACAGAAACTCCTAAACCTGATCAGACTACTGACACATCGCCAAAAAAATCGAAAATAAAAGGAGAAAAAGAAAGTGTCGGTTTATTTGGTATGTTTAAGAAAAAAGAACCTATAGAGAAAAAGGTTAAAATAGAAGCCAAACCGAGTCTTTCCGAAACAACATTAGAGTATATGACTCAAAGTGATAACTTCTTGAAAGATGAAATTAATCGATATCATGACGTACGTCCAATAATTACAAAACCTCTAGTTAGCAATGGCGAAGAGGTTCAAATAGAAGAGTTAAAAGTTAAAGAAATACAACAAAAAGAAAAAGCCTCTCCCAAAAAATCTAGAAAAGAGAAAACAAAAAGTGAATCAACTGACTTATTTGGTCTGTTCAAGAAAAAAGGTTCTGAGGAACGAGAAATCAAACCTCTAGAAAAAACATCATTATCTGAAGTTGTTTTCAAAAATATGCAAGAATCTGACACATTTCTAAAAGATGAAATACAAAGATATCACGATGTTAGACCAATTATAACAAAACCCGTTGAAATAGAAGATGAAATACTTAAAGTTAAACAAGAAATTAAAGAGACAGTTAAGCCAGTCGTCCTGGAAACAGAAATAAATACAGCAACTTTAGAAAGGCCTAAGAAAAAGAAGAAAGAAAAAGGTGGTATTTTGGGAATGTTTAAGTCCAAGCCTAGTACCGATCAAGAAGAAACTTACAAAGAACCTACACTTTCTGATGAAGTCGTTAAACATATGGAAACAACCGATACTTTCCTTAAAGACGAAGTAGATAAGTATCATGATGTAAAACCCATAGAAATATCTACTGTTGCTGACATACCTAAAGAAAAACTGGCTACAGATAAAATCGTCATACCTGGAGCACGACCTATCATACAAGAAACTATAATTGTCACTGTTGAAGAAACTAAACGGGAAAAAGGCAAAAAAGAAGTAAAAAAAGAAGAAACATTTGTTACAAAAGAAGATGGTAGTTTAGGTGAAATTGTAAAATCTATTGAAGAGGAAAGTAAACGACTACTTGATGAAGCTAAATCCAGAACGGAAGACACGAAAGGTAAAGTAAGAGAAACATACCAAACGTTCCACAGAAAAGAAGAATCTGTGGAAAGGGATATTAAAATTTCTTCGGTCAAATTCCAAGAAGTGACGAAACAAGAGAAAGTAGTAAAGTTTACTGACGTCGAAGAACCTAAAGTAAAAGAGGAAGTTCAAAAATTCATTACAAAAGTTACTGAAATTGGTCATCCTACTTTATCGGACCTAAAAGTTGAACATATGAATGACAGTAACCGTTTCTTAGAAACTGAAATTGATAAGTACCATGATGTAAAACCAGTTGTATCCGAACTACAAAAAGAAACGGTATCTGTAAGCGAAAAACCAGAACCAGAAGCTGAGGATGCTCACCAAAAAAATAAAAAAGACGGTGGAGTTTTAGGTATATTCAAAAAGAAACCCATTGAAGATAAAACAATCAAACAACCTTTATCAGAAATCGTTACAAAATATATGCAAGACAGTGAAAACTTTTTAAATGGTGAAATAGAAAAATACTCGGACGTTCGTCAAATTGTTCCAGAAAAAAAATCAGAAATTGAATTGCAAAAGACACAAATTGCAGATTCTATCACATCTTCTCCAAAGAAAGAAAAGAAAAAAGACGTTGATGGACAAAAAGGAGGCATTTTTGGAGTGTTTAAAAAGCGAGGCAGCTCTGCAGATAGAGAAGCTAAGGTTAAATCAGGAGAATTCGAAGAAAAAGAAGCTAAACCGAGCGGTATATTAGGTGTGTTCAAGAAAAAAGCAGGATCTTTAGAAAGAGATGTCAAACCTCCACAATCTAAAACGGTTGTTCTTTCCGAAACAACTGTAAAAGAAATGAAAGACAGTACTAACTTTTTACAAAGCGAAATTGAAAAATATCATGATGTTAGACCGTTTGTTACAAATATCGAAGTTCCAGAGACGCCTGTTGTGGTTACTACGACAACAGAAAAGTCTCAAAGAGATCATAAAGACAAGGTTGAAGAAAAAGGTGGCCTCTTTGGTATATTCAAGAAAAAGACCGGTTCTCTTGAAAGGGATGTAAAAGGAATACCCACAGAACTTAAAGAAGAGAAAAAGAAGGCAAGAGAACCTATATTTGGTAAACCAAAAACAGTTTCAAAATCGGCACTGTCTGAAGAAACTATTAGGAATATTAAAGAATGCAGTAGTTTCTTGGATACAGAGGTTCAAAAATACCACGACGTTATACCAATTTCTACAGATCTCTTAGAAACAGAAGTACCAACAATTCTACCAATAACAGAACGAACGTTGTACAAAACCGAAATAATTGAAGAAAGCTCAACCACTGAACAACCATTGTTTAAAACGGTAATAACTGAACAAGAAACTTCACATGAAACAAGCAAGGAAAAAATAGTAGAAACGATAAACGAGCAAGCTTTCGATGTAGTTACAGGTGGTCCTGTAACTGTCACAGTAAACACGAACGAACCATTAGTAAAAACAGAAGTGATCACAATGACAACAGGCACAAAAGAAGAAACAACTAAAGATAAAAAGAAAAAGAAAGATAAAGACGTCGAAAAAGGAGGTTTATTTGGTATCTTTAAGAAGAAAGGTGGCTCAATAGAAAGAGAAGTTAAACCATTAACAGCAATTGAAGCAGAAGCTTTAGTAAAACAAGAAGCACCTGTTTTGTCCGAGACAACAGTTAAACACATGAATGAAAGCATTGATTTCTTAAATAATGAAGTTTACAAATATCACGATGTACGACCAATTATCGATATTAATGAACAAAAAACGGTATTAAGTCCTGTAACTCCTAGCATTAAGTCAGAAGAACCCGCGGTAAAAACAGAAATAATAATTAAAACACAGAGTGTGGTAGAAGAAAGAAGCCAGGATAAAAGGAAAAAGGGAGACAAAGACGGAGAAGAAGGTGGTCTGTTTAGTATCTTTAAGAAGAAAGGTGGTTCATTAGACAGAGATATTAAACCATTAACCGAAGTTGAAGCACAAGTTTTAGCGAAACAAGAAAAGCCTGTTTTGTCTGAGACAATAGGTAAAAATATAAATGAAAGTACTGACTTCTTAAATACCGAAGTTGACAAATATCATGATGCACGACCAACTGTAGATGCCAAAGAACCAGAAATATTAATAAGCCCTATTACTGTTGCTGTTAAAACTGAAGAACCAATAGTACAAACCGAAATAATAACAACCACATCGACAACAACACAGAGTGTGGCAGACGAACCAAGCAAAGATAAAAAGAAGAAGAAAGCTAAAGACGGAGAAAAAAGTGGTCTTTTTGGTATCTTTAAGAAGAAAGGTGGTTCATTGGAAAGAGATATTAAACCATTAACAGAAATTGAAGCAGAATCTTTGGTAAAACAAGAAAAACCTGTTTTGTCTGAGACAACAGTTAAAAACATGAATGAAAGCATTGACTTCTTAAATAACGAAGTTGACAAATATCACGATGTACGCCCAATCATAAGTATTATTGAAAAGGAGACAGTATTAAGTCCTGTCGCTGGCAGTATTAAGTCTGAAATGCCTGTAGTGAAAACAGAAATAATTACAACAGAGAATGTAGTAGAAGAAACAAGCAAAGATAAAACGAAGAAGAAAGCTAAAGACGGAGAAAAAAGTGGTCTTTTTGGTATCTTCAAGAAGAAAAGTGGTTCATTGGAAAGAGATATTAAACCATTAACAGAAATTGAAGCAGAATCTTTGGTAAAACAAGAAAAACCTGTTTTGTCTGAGACAACAGTTAAAAACATGAATGAAAGCATTGACTTCTTAAATAACGAAGTTGACAAATATCACGATGTACGCCCAATTATAAGCATTATTGAAAAGGAGACAGTATTAAGTCCTGTCGCTAGCAGTATTAAGTCTGAAAAGCCTGTAGTGAAAACACAAATAATTACAACAACAGAGAATGTAGCAGAAGAAACAAGCAAAGATAAAACGAAGAAGAAAGCTAAAGACGGAGAAAAAAGTGGTCTTTTTGGTATCTTCAAGAAGAAAGGTGGTTCATTGGAAAGGGATATTCAACCATTAACAAAAATTGAAGCAGAATCTTTGGTAAAACAAGAAAAACCTGTTTTGTCTGAGACAACAGTTAAACACATGAATGAAAGCATTGACTTCTTAAATAACGAAGTTGACAAATATCACGATGTACGCCCAATCATAAGTATTATTGAAAAGGAGACAGTATTAAGTCCTGTCGCTGGCAGTATTAAGTCTGAAGTGCCTGTAGTGAAAACAGAAATAGTTACAACAACAGAGAATGTAGTAGAAGAAACAAGCAAAGATAAAACGAAGAAGAAAGCTAAAGACGGAGAAAAAAGTGGTCTTTTTGGTATCTTCAAGAAGAAAGGTGGTTCATTGGAAAGAGATATTAAACCATTAACAGAAATTGAAGCAGAATCTTTGGTAAAACAAGAAAAACCTGTTTTGTCTGAGACAACAGTTAAAAACATGAATGAAAGCATTGACTTCTTAAATAACGAAGTTGACAAATATCACGATGTACGCCCAATTATAAGCATTATTGAAAAGGAGACAGTATTAAGTCCTGTCGCTAGCAGTATTAAGTCTGAAAAGCCTGTAGTGAAAACACAAATAATTACAACAACAGAGAATGTAGCAGAAGAAACAAGCAAAGATAAAACGAAGAAGAAAGCTAAAGACGGAGAAAAAAGTGGTCTTTTTGGTATCTTCAAGAAGAAAGGTGGTTCATTGGAAAGGGATATTCAACCATTAACAAAAATTGAAGCAGAATCTTTGGTAAAACAAGAAAAACCTGTTTTGTCTGAGACAACAGTTAAAAACATGAATGAAAGCATTGACTTCTTAAATAACGAAGTTGAGAAATATCACGATGTACGCCCAATTATGAGCATTATTGAAAAGGAGACAGTATTAAGTCCTGTCGCTGGCAGTATTAAGTCTGAAATGCCTGTAGTGAAAACAGAAATAATTACAACAACAGAGAATGTAGTAGAAGAAACAAGCAAAGATAAAACGAAGAAGAAAGCTAAAGACGGAGAAAAAAGTGGTCTTTTTGGTATCTTCAAGAAGAAAGGTGGTTCATTGGAAAGAGATATTAAACCATTAACCGAAATTGAAGCAGAATCTTTGGTAAAACAAGAAAAACCTGTTTTGTCTGAGAAAACAGTTAAAAACATGAACGAAAGCATTGACTTCTTAAATAACGAAGTTGACAAATATCACGATGTTCGGCCAATTATATTCACTAATGAACAAGAAACAGTGTCAAGTCCGGTCACTGTCAGCATTAAGATTAAAGAACCCGTTGTAAAAACAGAAATAGTTATAACGACATCGACTACAGCAACAGATAGTGTGGTAAAAGAAACGAGCAAAGATAAAAAGAAGAAGACGGAAAAAGATGGAGAGAAAGGTCTGTTTGGTATTTTCAAAAAGAAAGCTGACTCATTAGAAAGAGATGTTAAACCATTAAGAGCAACTGAAGCAGAAGCTTTAGTAAAACAAGAAAAACCTATTTTGTCTGAGACAACACTTCAAAACATGAATGAAAGCATTGACTTCTTAAATAACGAAGTTGACAAATATCACGATGTTCGACCAGTTTTAGGCATTAATGAACAAGAGACAGCATTAAGTCCTGTTGCCGTAAGCATTAAGCCTGAAGAGTCTGCAGTCAAAACAGAAATAATTGCATCAACAGAGAGTGTGATAGAAGAAACAAGCAAAGATAAAACTAAGAAGAAAGAAAAAGAGGGAGAAAAAGGTGGTATCTTTGGTATCTTCAAGAAGAAAGGTGGCGCATTAGAAAGAGATATTAAACCATTAACAGCACTTGATGCAAAACAAGAAAAATATGTTTTGTCCGAGACAACAGTTAAAAACATGAATGAAAGTAATGATTTCCTCAATAACGAAGTTGATAAATATCACGATGTACGACCAAATATAGACATTAATAAACAAGAAGCAGTAGTAAGTCCTGTCACCATTAGCAATAAGTCTGAAGAACCCGTTGTGAAAACAGAAATAGTTACAACCACTTCGAATACAACAACAAAAAGTGTGGTAAAAGAAACAAGCAAAGATAAAAAGAAGACAGAAAAAGATGGAGAAAAAGGTGGTCTTTTTGGTATCTTTAAAAAGAAAGGTGGCTCATTGGAAAGAGATGTTAAACCATTAACAGCGATTGAAGCAGAAGCTTTAGCAAAACAAGAAAAACCTGTTTTGTCTGAGACAACAGTTAAATACATGAATGAAAGCATTGACTTCTTAAATAACGAAGTTGACAAATATCATGATGTACGCCCAACTATAAGCAATAATGAACAAGAAATAGTATCAAGTCCTGTTATTGTCAGTATTGAGACTAAAGATCCCGCTTTAAAAACAGAAATAATAACAACCATATCGACTACAACAACAGAGAATATAGTAGAAGAAACAAGCAAAGATAAAAAGAAGAAGAAAGACAAAGACGGAGAAAAAGGTGGTCTTTTCGGTATCTTTAAGAAGAAAGGTGGCTCAGTAGAAAGAGATGTTAAACCATTAACAGCAGTTGAAGGACAAGTTTTAACAAAACAAGAAAAACCTGTTTTGTCTGAGAAAACAGTTGAAAACATGAATGACAGCATCGACTTCCTAAATAACGAAGTTGACAAATATCACGATGTACGGCCAGTTATTGTCAATAATAAGCAAGAAACAGTATTAAGTCCGGTCACTGTCAGCATTAAGATTAAAGAACCAGTTGTAAAAACAGAAATAATAACAACCACATCGACTACAACAACAGAAAATGTGGTAGAAGAAACAAGCAAAGATAAAAAGAAGAAGAAAGACAAAGACGAAGAAAAAGGTGGTCTTTTTGGTATCTTTAAGAAGAAAGGTGGCTCAGTAGAAAGAGATGTTAAACCATTAACAGTTGAAGCACAAGTTTTAGCAAAACAAGACAAAACTGTTTTGTCTGAGACAACAGTTAAAAACATGAATGAAAGCATTGATTTCTTAAATAATGAAGTTAACAAATATCACGATGTAAGACCAATTGTAGACATCAATGAACAAGAAGTAATATTAAGGCCTGCCACCTTTAGCATGAAGTCTCAAGAACCCGTTGTAAAAACAGAAATAGTTACAACCACATCTACTACAACAGATAGTATGGTAAAAGAAACAAACAAAGATAAAAAGAAGAAGACGGAAAAAGATGGAGAGAAAGGTGTGTTTGGTATCTTCAAAAAGAAAGGTGGCTCATTAGAAAGAGATGTTAAACCATTAACAGCAATTGAAGCAGAAGCTTTAAAACAAGAAAAACTTATTTTGTCTGAGACAACAGTTAAAAATATGAATGAAAGCATTGACTTCTTAAATAACGAAGTTAACAAATATCACGATGTACGACCAATTATAAGCATTAATGAACGAGAGACAATATTAAGTCCTGTTGCCGTCAGCATTAAACCTGAAGATCCCGCAGTCAAAACAAAAATAAATGCAACAACAGAGAGTGTGGTAGAAGAAACAAGCAAAGATAAAACGAAGAAGAAAAACAAGGAGGGAGAAAAAGGTGGTCTCTTTGGTATCTTTAAGAAGAAAGGTGGCTCATTAGAAAGAGATGTTAAACCATTAACAGCAATTGAAGCAGACGCTTTAGTGAAACCAGAAAAACCTGTTTTGTCCGAGACAACAGTTAAAAGCATGAATGAAAGTGTTGACTTCTTAAATACTGAAGTTGACAAATATCACGATGTACGACCAATTATTAATCACAAAAAAGCAGACATAATTTCTTTGGAGAAATCATTAACAACAACAGAAATCGTCACACATGAAATTATCAAAGATAAGAATATCAAAAAAGATCACGGCGAAGAAAAGAGTTTGTCTGGTATTTTTAAGAAAAAGGATAAAACCCATGGTAAGGAGACTCTTCAGTCTCGAGAACATATCTTATCTGAAGGTGCAGTTAAAGATACAGATGCTAGTAACAAATTTTTAGATAATGAAGTTGAAAAATATCATGATGTTAAACCAATTAAAAAAGAAATTGAAATAACACCTACAATTTTTGAAACAAAAGAAGCATTAATTAAAACAGAAATAAAAGTCGACGAACCTTCAGTTAAAACACAAATACAAATAGAAGAACCACTGGTTAAAATAGACGTAAAATCCGATGAACATACAGTAGAAATCGTTAAAGGAAAGAAGAAGAAAAAAGACAAGGAAATAGATGGAGAAAAGAGCAGTATATTCAGCTTATTTAAGAAAAAAGGAGACTCATTAGAACGAGATGCAAAACAAACTTCTTTTACTGAACCAGAGGCAATGGTATCAAAAGCAGTTTTGTCGGGCACAACAATTAAGGAAATGCATGACAGTACCAACTTCCTACAAACTGAAATTGACAAATATCACGATGTTCGCCCAATTATAACTGACATTGAAGCAAAAGAAATAACTGAAGAAATTTCAACGAAAGAAAAATCACCTAAAGAATCTGAAGTTAGTAAAGGGGGACTCTTTGGAATGTTTAAAAAGAAAACAGGATCGTTGGAAAGAGAGGTTAAAAGTATACCTTCTGAGGTTGCTAAAGAAAAGAATACAGTTAAAGATTCTCTATTTGGTAAAAAAGCAGAACAAATTCATACTGAAGTTGCCATTAAACAGGACAAACCTGTTTTGTCAGAAACAGTTATTAAAGATATTATTGATAGCAACAGTTTCTTAGATACAGAAGTTGATAAGTATCATGATGTGAAGCCAATATTACCAGCAGATGAAAAGGATATTTTAGAGAAAGCTTCTATAAAAACAGAAGTGGTATCAGAACAATATGTTAAACTTGAAGCACCAACACTTATAAAAGATACACAAATAGAGGAATCTACTATACAAGTTACAACTACTGAAAAACCGTTAAAAAAGAAGAAAGATAAAGATTCTGACAGTGGACTTTTTGGTATATTTAAGAAAAAATCTGGATCTTTAGAGCGTGATGTGAAGCCGCCTGTGACCGAAATTGAAACTTCTTACGTTAAACCAGAAAAACCTATTCTCTCAGAATCAACAGTTAAAGAAATAACTGATAGTACTAGCTTCTTGCAAACTGAAATTGACAAGTATCACGATGTACGACAGATTCCTCAAGACTTTGAATTTGAAGAAATACCAGTTGCAGAAACTCCAAAAGCAGAACAAGCTGTGAAAGTTTCCAAAGAAAAAGAAGCTAAAGGTCTATTCGGTATCTTCAAAAAGAGATCAGGATCTGCTGAAAGAGATGTTGAAGAAAAGAAAAAGATTAGAGAACCTATATTCGGAAAACCGAAGAAAACGGAAAAACCGGACTTGTCAGAAACTACTCTTAAAGATATGCAGGATAGCAACATATTTTTAGAAATGGAAGTTGACAAGTATCATGACGTTAAACCAATAATTAAATCAGTAACATCTGAAGAGCAAACTGTCATAAAAACACAAATAGAACAAATTTCTGGTACAGCTAAAGAAAAGACTCCCATCTTCAGTATCTTCAGAAAGAAAGACGCATCACTCGAAAGAGATTTGAAATCAGTTACAACAGAATCTGAAATACAAAAAATTGAGAAGTCTATTTTATCTCAAACAACTGTTAAAGAAACTGTACCTATAGGTTTATCCTTAACAACAGACGAACCTTTAGTCAAAACAGAACAAAGTATAGAAACATCGCCAAAGAAAATGAAAGAAAAGTACCCAGAAGCAGAAAAAGGCGGTATTTTCGGTATCTTCAAGAAAAAAGGAGGATCCCTTGAACGATATGTTAAACCAATCCCTGCTGCTCTATCTGAAACCACTTTCAAACAAATGGAAGACAGTACCAATTTCTTGGAAACCGAAATTGACAAATACCACGATGTAAGACCAATAATTGATTCAAGCAAAGAAGGTACAACAGTAGAAGAAATCAAGGAAGAACAAACTACCGAAAAAAAGGAAAAAGGAGGTCTGTTTGGAATTTTCAAAAAGAAACCGGCAGAAGGCAAAGATAAAGAGCTGCCTGAAGAAACTATTCAAAATACGCAACACTCCGACAACTTCCTAAAAGGTGAAATTGATAAATATCACGATGTCCGACCAATGATAGAAACTAAATCAGTCACCGCAGAACCAGAGTCGTTATTAGAATCAATCGAAAAGGAACTAAAAGATAAAGCAACAGAAAATATCCAAAAAGTTAAAGAAGAGTTTAAAGAAATCGAACCCGTTATTACAGAATCGATAACTATTACTAAAGAAAAGTTAATTTTAACTGAACCACCTTTCAAACAAGAACCTGATAAAATTCCTAAAGAGAAAATATCATCACCTAAAAAACAAAAAGAGAAAAAATCCGGACTTTTCGGCATTTTCAAAATGAAAGACCATGATGAAAAAGCTGAATCTCAAATTGCTGATGAAGTTAAACAAAATATGGACAATTCGCAATCATTTCTGGTAACTGAAGTTGACAAATATCACGACGTTCACCCAATCATTATTGAAGTACCTAAAGAACCAGAAATAATAACGAAAGTAGAAAAATCCGAAATACAAGACGTTAAAGTAACGGAAACTGTGGAACGAATAACTACCAGCTTTCCGTTGGAAAAGCATTTGGATGAAATAATGTTTAAAAATATTGAAAATAGTAAAACGCTACTTAACGACGACGAAGAACAATTCTACGATGCCACATCATTAAGTAGAGATGAAATCACTAAATTAGAATCAAAACCTACTGGCAAAGAAGATTTGACCTTTAAAGAAAGTATCCAAGAGGCCATAAAGGACAGTAACGCGTTTCTTCGACAAGAAGTTGAAAAATTCCATGATGTCAGACCAGTTATTACTTCTATTGAAGAAGTAGAAACGATAGAAGAACCCAAATCCAAAGAACCAAAACCTAAAGAAGGCAAATCTGGTTTCTTCGGTATATTCAAAAAGAAAGGACCAGAAGAAAGGGAAATGCAACTCACCGAAGAAAAGATAACTAAGAAGCAGAAGAAAGATTTAAAACAGGTACAACAACAAATTATTGAAAGACCTAAGCTTTCAGGAGAAACTATAAAAGCAATGGGCGACAGCAATTCATTTTTAGAAAACGAAATTGAAATTTATCATGATGTTCGACCCGTTATAACAGAACCTCTAGTGATAGCAGAAACACAAATTAAGGAAGAAACTCTTAAAGATAAAGAACAGAAAAAAGGTGGTTTCTTGGATAAATTTAAGAGAAGGTCAGAAGAAAAAGAGTTAAAACGAAAATCAGGACCATCAGAAGATACTCTTAAGAACATGCTCGACTCAAATAGTTTTATACAAACTGAAATTCAGAAATTCCACGATGTAAGACCAACTGTTGCACAATCTGCCGAAATAGATCCCAAAGAACAAGTCTCTAAAACAGCACTGTCTCCTACTGAAGCTGCTAAAAATTCAAAAATTGACGAAGAAAGTAGTCATGATAAGAAACAAAAAGACAAGAAAAAAGATAAAGGATTCTTTGGCATCTTCAAGAAGAAGGGCTCGGAGAGTCAAGACTCGGAGAAAAAACCCAAAAACGATAAAATTGTACTAACTGAAGACGTTATAAAATCAATGAAAGATTCAGACAACTTCCTGACAGGCGAAATTGATAAATATCACGATGTGCGTCCAATTCAACAGGTTTTTACTAAAGAAATAACTAAACCTGTTCCTAAATCAGATGTATTTGTAGTGTCAGAAGATAAGGAAGCAAAAGCAAGCCCTTCAAAAATAAACAAGCAAGAGACTGAACAACACATTATAATAACAGAAAAACATTTCGTTAAAGAAGGAGGTTATTTAAATGAAGTATTTGTTAAAGAAACAACAGAAAAGAAAACCGTTACTGATAATAAGCTAGTAGAAGCACAGGATGTTGGTAAAAACTTACACGAAACCTCTAATTTCTTAAACACGGAACTCGATGTATATGAAGACGGATCTCCAGTTAAAAAGGAGAGGGTAGAAAAGAGTGACATACAGCCTAAACTCTCTTCTGAGACTTTAGGTCACATGCTTTCTACTAGTGACTTTATCAGAGATGAAATAACCAACTATCATGATGTTAAACCTATTATTAGCACAGAAGAAGCAGAAAAAGATAAGGACAAAGAAAAGAGTAAAAAATTGTTTGGCTTGTTTTCTAAAAAGAAATCTCCCGAGAAAGACACCGAAAGCAAACCCAATGAAGAAGACAAAAAGAAATCAAAAGATGAGGCAGCTGCACCTGACAGCAAAGATTTCTCTAAAGGAGAAACCGACCGCTATCAGGAGGTTAGAAAATCCAAAGAAGATAGTGGTAGTTTCTTTGGTCTGTTTTCAAAGAAAACCAAACCACAAGAAAAAGAAAAGAGCGTAGAAAAGGAATTACCTCAACAGCTGTCTCAAGAAGTCGCCGAACATATGAAAAACAGCTCAGACTTTTTAACCAAAGAGGTTGATTTGTATCACGATGTCAAACCGCAATTGGACGAAAGCTTCAATGTAGATATCTTTGAACCCGTTACTTTATCTCCTATCCACTTACCTGATACTCAATTTACACTGACATCAGAAAGAATACAGCAGAAAACACCAGAAGAATCTCCACAAAAATCTAAAGAGGAAGCCTGTTTCGATAAACTCTACGAAAATTTAAAAGATGAAAGTCCTAAACGAACAGTAACCACTACAGTCACTAAGGAATCGATACCTAGTGGAGAACGAGTTACCAAAGTAAAACAAGAAGTTATAACAGGTACAATCCAACTAGGACCTGATGTATTGGACGACATCGAGAAATTAGAAAAAGAAATAAACGCCAAACTAGAAGAGATCCGTAAACAAACGGGAGATTATGAAGATGCTAGTATTGAAGTTAGGCAATATACAGTAAACGATCAAGACAAACAACAAGAAACAGAAGAGTCAGATCTATTCAACAAGCGCGTCCATTCCGAATTACCGGATATTCCAGTTTCGGGTAGAATATCAGAATTGTCTTTTGATGAGCCTTCTCCTTTTATAGAACGTAAATTAAACGCAGAAATTTTGAGACAGATGCAACAGAGTCATAGTTTTCTCACCACAGAAATCGAAAATTACGACGATGGCAAATCAGAGATCGTCACTGACTTAGATGAAGAACAGAAAGTAAAATCCACTGGTCTGTTCGGTATTTTCAGTAAGAAAGAAAAATCTGTCAGTCCGAACATCACTAAGAAGAAATTTAAAAAATCTAAAGATGCCAAGTCTGTAGACGAGCCAGAGAAAGTAGGTTTCATTGAAAAGATTGGTCGTAAATTAACTGGTGGAAAATATGATGTAGAAGAAGCTTCAAAGAATGTTTCCTTCCCTGAAGTAGGAGTTTTAACAACTGCTGCTGAAAGCGATACTAGCAAAATTGGAGGTTCAGTAAAGCAAATAGAAAGAGACGTTATAGATTCGGCCATAACAGAAGTGGGAAATCTTCAAGATGCCACCAAAGAACAATTTAAAGAAACCGAAGAAGAATTCAAGAAATTAGCAAAAGATTCGAAGAAACAGCTCAAAGAAGAGGAAAAATCTGCCAAAGAAAAACTAAAATCAACTGGTCTAGCAGTAGAAGATAAGTCTTTAGAAGCTTTTAAAGAAACTAAAGAAACCGTTGATAAAGTCAGTAAAAAATCAACTGGATTCTTTAGTAAACTAGGCGAAAAAGTCCATGGTAAAAGCGAGGATAAAGAAAAGTTGGATAAGAAAGAGAAGAAACCAAAAAAGTCGGGATTTTTATCGAAACTAGGAGGAAAAGGCAGTAAAGAAGTTTCTTTTGAAATTCCCGAAGCTACTACCGTAATCGAATCAACTCTGCCACTTGATATTAAAACCGAAATTGGCGAACTAAAATCTACAAGCGAAGTTGCCAAATCAGATTCTGCAAATTTCGTAAACGACTTACTTCAAAGTTTTGACGATAAACTGGATAACGTTAAAGAACAGAAAGATGATTTAGAATACTCGTCGAAGGAAGCAATTAAAGAATTTGAAGAAAGAACGGAAAATATAAAAAAAGGTGTATCAGACATAGCGAATAAACAACAGGAGAAGATTAAAGAAACAGTTAAAGAAACCGATAGAGAATTGGAGAAAAGGACGGAAAATATTAAAAAAAGTTTAAGTGAGATGACGCAAACATCAACAGAAAAAATTACTGAAATAAAACGAACATCCGAAAAACAACTGAAAGAGCATACAGAATCTTTCGAAAAAACTATTGATGAAAAATTTAGTGAAACTATGAAACTTTCAGAAGAGTTATCGAAAATAACAAAAGACGATGTTAAAAAAGCATCTGCAACTATGGATCAACTGGAATACCAAAAGAGACTAATAGAAGAAGACGTTAATAGACTGGAAGAAGAAATACAACAAAAAAGACAGGAAGTCAAAGAAAAACTAGACGATGAGATAGTATACGCACAAAAGGCTATAAGAATAGAAAAAAGTAAGCTGGAAACAATGGACAGAGAGATACGGAAGAAAATCGAAAAATCTGAGAAAATAGAAATGGGCATAGCATCGACTGTACAAAATGTAGAAGATTCTGCCAGCATTTCGAAACCCGATCTCTCTAAAGAAATAGAAAAAATAGAAGCTGACATAACCAACGAATTAGACAAATTAAAAGCCACTTTGGAAGATACATCTAAGCAAGTAGAAGATAGCGCAAAAAGTAAGTCAGAGTCAGTAAAGAAAACTCCTATACAAGCCGAACAAACTGCTAACTCAAAATCAGAAACATTGTTTACCTCTATTAAAGATACCATTGATCAAGGAAATGTCACTGTAAAGGGTAAACTAGAAACTGTAAGTACCACTATTAAAGATACCACTGATCTAACAAAGACCAACGTACAGAGTAAAGTAGAAACTATGAGCCCTTCTATTAAGCACACAACCGACCTAACAATGGACGTTGTAACAAGTAAAGTAGAAACAGTTAAAGACAAAACAGAAGAAATAAACGAGAAAGCAAAGAATGAGCAGCAAAAATTAAAAGCGGCACAATCTAAGATCGAAGCTGATGTTAAAGAAGCCACAGACAAAGCTTCTAAAAAGAGTAAAGGTTTCTTCGATAAACTTGGAAAGAAAATGACTGGAAAAAAAGACGACGTAAAAGAATCCGTAAAGGAAACATCCGAAAAAATTGAAACTACAATTGAAGCGGCTGCCGAAGATGTTGCTACAAAAAGCAAAAGTGTTTTCGGAAAACTAGGAAAGAAACTCAGCGGAAAGGGCGATGAGTTAAAAGCAACTGAAGCTAAAATTGAAGCTAAAGTAGCCAAAGCTGATGAAACGTTACAGCAACAAATAGACACTTCATCACAAGCTGTTGAAAGTGCATTATTTGGGCAAAAACAGCAAATGAGACCAGACGTTCAACAACAGAGTGTTGACTTTTTAGAAGCTGAAAGTAGAAGAACAGATGATCCTAAAATGAGCCGGGCGGTGTCGGATTATGGAAGTCAATTAAAGAAAATTGTAGACGATGGTTCTAGAAAAATTTCAGAAGCGAATATCGATTTATCCAATATACCCACAGACGATGATAAATATTTGGAGGAGGACAAATCCACTCCATATGTGACATCGCCAAAATTTTCAAGAAGGACTTTCTCGGCAAAGGTAATAAAGAGCGGCAAACCTGAGGTTATAGAAGTTTCGTATGACTCAAACATCGATGGACAAACTAGCAGCGATAGATACATTGTTACTGAACCAGACGATCCGAGAGTATTACCGAAAAAGCCCCTGTTTCACATAGTATCAGAAGAAGCTGATGACTCAAAAGGTGAATCAGAATTCGCCAGAAGCGACAGTAGTAGTTCTAACGTTTTAGAAACGTTGACAGAAAGTAGAATAGAAAGCTTACTAAGCGATTTAACCAAAGATTTAAGCCATTCAACCAAACCGATAGAAACGGCTTTAAAGAAGGAAGAAAAGCGATTGGAAGCGCACAAAAAAGATTCAGATGCCGAAGTAGATTTGATAGAGCGTAAATTGCGTGACTTAGACAAAGCTTTAGATTCATTAGAACAAGTAGAAATAGTAGAATCGATTGAAGAGACGAGGGATAATCGCATAGAGAAAAAATTGCGCAGAGTCGAAAGAAAATTCGAAAGAATGGCGTCAGACGTGATAGATAAAGAGTCCGAAGCGGGTAAGAGCGTTCAAATGACCAGCCCAGAGATTGAAATCAAACGCGAGACCGAGTACCAAACGCTGGTGTCGCAGCTTAGCACGGAAGACATTAGCGAGTTCCAAAAGGAATTCAGCCACATGTGGGACGAACACACGTTCTCGAAAAGCAGCGACAGAGAGTCTAAAACGCCGGACAGCCAAGCGGACGCTCAAGAACTTCCACAAGGTAGATCATAGATGTTGCTTTACAGAGTCTTTCTTCTCACAATACCATTTTTCACGCCTAAGTAGTACTGTTAACACTAATTTAAGAACCTTACCTCCGATGTTTAAGAGAAAGCATGACTAATCAATTTTTTATTACCTACCTACCCAAAATAGTGCAAACATATCGGGATACATACATTATTTTAGGATTAGGTCGATACCTTATCTAACAGTCTATTAACCTCTAACATTTTATTTTGTCTAAAATTAAATGGAATGTTAAAATGAATGAGAACTAGTTTTACCACTTACCAAACAACAAATTTGTAACACCACGATGTCTATTCAGAAAAATAATAAAAGTAAGTAAATTTTTAAAATTATATCATATAATTAGTGCAAATAAATTAACTATTTTCAAACTATCATAACAAATGGCTCTGTCACGAAATACTCCTAAACGATATAGCGTTGATCAAAATAGCGCTATTGGTTGAGCGCCTGATCAAAATAGCTCCAGATCCAAATATCACAGCACGAAATAGCGTTTATCAAAATAGCTCCTGAACGAAATATCGCTTATCAAAAGAGCGTCAGTCAAAACAGAGCCCGAACAAAAAAACCCTTAAATAAAATAGCACATTTTGAAATAGTAAGTATTGAAATGGCATCAGTACGAAATGGCCCTGGCACGAAATAACGCCTGAAAAAACAACCAATTTACCTAACCTGTGCCATCGCGGAATGCTTCTCAAAAGAATTATATATAAAATAAGAAAAAATAACATTTACCTAATATACCTAACCTGTGTGGCATTAAATTAAATCATCACTTAGTTCTTTTTAATTTTTTCTTTTATGTACCAGCGAGATGACTCCAGGCCGCACAGGTTAGGTAAATTAGCCTTTTTTTTTAATAAGATCATGTTTAATTTTTTTGGCCCAATTTTGACTAACACTATTTTAAATAGCGCTGTTTCGTTCGCGTGTTATTTTGACTGAAGATTTTTGGATACGCGCTACTTTATCAGGCGCTTTACTTAAACGCGCTATTTCGTTCAGACGCTCTTTTGATACGCACTATTTCATTCAGTGCCATTTCGCGACAGACTCATAAAACATATTTCTTTAATTTAAATTTTCTATTATCTACGTTATGACTATTGTTTTACAAATTTTTAACTTTGATTGGTTTTCCTATTTGACGTATTTACAGTATGTACAGTCGGCTCAACCCAAATGTGAACAATCTTACTATTCGAAAAAGAAAAATAATTCCAACTCAAATGTGACCAAGACGTAAAATAAAATAAATAAAACCCAGCCATATGAAGCTCGAGCCGTATATATTGGAGAATTATCCTGTAATACAAATCAATTATTTTAAATATTAACAAGTATACCAAACTGATTTCTTACATGTTGAAAAGTAAAATTATTAAGAAAACCTTCTCTTACTGATGGTAACATCATTGTTTAAGATGTTTATGTAACGCTCGGCTGTTAACCGCCCATAATATTTCCAGAAGGTACATTCAAGGACCGTTAACCCTTATCCACGCCCAAACATTGATACAAAAGCGCCCACTGTTAGTGGTACCCAACGAGTCTCGAGATTTCAGTACCCAGTGTATAATTTTCTTCGAATCTTTAGTTTCTAGAAAGATAATCTCTTTTTAGTCGTGTTTTTTTTAACGTTCAATTTCCCTCTTATCTTTTTCTTCCATTATCTTATTATTTTTTTCATCTTCCTGCTTGTTTGTATTAACCTTGAAACGGTGAGAACTAAACTGATATCTTGCGTTTTGCCATATCACCTCTGCTTACTGATATTTACCTTGAGATAATGTCATTTCTGTATCTTTTTTGAGTTAATAGTGATTTACCTTCGGTATGCGATATATAATTATCTTTTGTCTCTGTGCTGCTCTCAACACTTGCATCATTCTTCCATGTGAAAGAAGTTTTTATCTTGGGTCTGTCCTGCGCTAAAATTGTGGTTAATTTTTGGGTAACTTGGACGTGTAATATTTAGTGTCTTAGCTCCAAATTTGTTGCACTAATCTCTGTCCTAAAGCCACGAAAAGTTCCACTCCTATGGAAAAATGCTGAGGTAATAATGATATCCAAACCTTTACTTTCCACTCAAAATAAAACCATGATTCTAAAGCCAGTATGGACATGTGGACTACAATTATAGGATTGTATCCGAAAATGCAATTATTACAATTGCCTAAGAAATAGTACAAAACCGAATTCTCGGAAATATAGTTAATGCTCCTTTGTATGATCGGAATAAAGATGAATCACTTCCAGAAGAAATAAGAAAAGTGTCGTGATAAAAATTTTAACATTTCATGTGCCTTTTATTTAGGGTGGCAATAAGAACAGCAAAATTTACAAAGTCTGTACAGAACGCCAAGCATTTAAACGTATCAAATAGGCTTGCAGAGCAAAAACAAAAAAAGATCTTCTAGTGCTTCTCATTTTCTTTTTTAGGTTGAGTAACAAAAAAGGTACTTTAGTAGTTTCTACATGACTTGTCTTAATCTTTAGTTTAAGTAGCTATAAAACAAAAAAAGGTCCTTACTTCTCTCGTCTTGTTTTTTTATTATTTAAGGTTTGAGACAAATAAAGTAAATTCCATAGTAATTCTCTCTTTTTTATGACAGGTTACCTCGAGATATCTAGTGAGATGTCTATCTTTTCTTTTTGATGGATAGTATTGTTTTCTAATGTTGTCGTGTTTTTGGCATTCGGATTATCACTTTTTAGTTGTGTTTTTTCTTTTTCAATTATCTGCTTCTCTTGTTTTCTTAATTTTTTCCAAACCCGTTTAGTGATTCGAATTAGAGCAAATAACAGCACGACGAATCAGCTTGTCGTAGAAAGCGGTTAAAGAAATATGTTCTCATCATTTTCTTTATTTTTCTTTCCCACATATTCCAGATGATATGTGTTTATGATTTGAATTGTATGATGTAATGTAACTAATGTAATTTATATACCGTGAGCACCATAAGTCTTCTAGCACTATCTAACTCGTTACTGGAGTCTTGTTAGGAAAATCGCCGAGACACGTCGATTTTTGATTTCTACAGTGTACATTTTTGTATGAATAGTTTACCCTTAATTTCATCCCTTACTGGAGGGGAGCAACCCTATCGAAAAATTTAAATGGCATGGGGTGGTGAGTGATAGCTCATTTGAAAGAGGGGTTTATTCTCTATTCAACCATGTAAAAAAATTTGAAATTTGCTTCATTAATTCTCGACTAATTGTTGTTTCAGAATAACGGAAATTAACGTAGCGCACTCATCCTTAGAATTAAAATTCGGCCCTGCATGATTTCGGTTTTGGTTCAGACGTGAAGTAAGACTTTTTGCCATTAGAAGGTCACTATTAGTTTAGTTGCTTTCCTATTTTGTGAGGTTTTGTTATTTTTAATCATTAATAAATCAACACGTAATGAAGCAAATTTAAAATTTTTTTGCACGGTTGAATGGAAAATAAAACCCCCTTTCAAATGAGCTATCACTTACCACCCCATGCCATTTAAATTTTTCGAAAGAGTTGTTCTCCTCCAGTAAGGGATGAAATTAAGGGTAAACTAATAATACAAAAATGTACATTGTAGAAAACAAAAATCGACCTGTCTCGGCGATTTTCCTAACAAGACTCCAGTAACGAGTTAGTTAGGGGGGGGGGTAAGACTTATGATGCTCACTGTATAATTATCTTCAAATAAAGATAACGATAAATTTAGATTAAGATAAAAAAAAAAACCAAATTAGTACCACCAATTTTTCTGAAAACTTCTGCCCTGGTGATTGAGCCTCTCTCTGATACCTTAATTTAACCTATTAGGTGTAGGTACATGAAAGAAAAGTGGACCCTAAAATTTGTTACCATCACAATAGTGGTACTCTCCTGGGTCCCTATTCTTAACGGCGATAGACTAAAACAACCGAGGGAAAGTGGGCGTGGTTCTACTGAAAATTCAATAGCCGTATTCTTGACGACGTTTATATTGAAAAAGCGATAGAAACTCTCTTATCAGTTGAACAAAATACTTCTACACATAAATCAAGACATTCAGCGTTTTGACAATGTCTGTGAGACATTGTAATAATTGTTAATTCTAATTTTACCCGTTTTGTGTAAAGAAATTAATTTTAAATGAAAATATAAATAAAATGGAATTTACAAGATACCTGCAAAATTTTATACCCATATTATACATATCAGATCCTGATGATATAAATTCAGCCAACATTTCTTTTTGTTGGGATGTTATTGGGTTCCTAGTTCCTACCTACTTTTGGGTTTCTTTGCGTTATCCATTATTTTCTTAAGCCTTATTCATATTTTGTATTTTTGAAGTCTGTCAAAATATTTTTTGTTTTGATTGGTCGAGAAGATTGGCAACAGTAAACTATTTCTACGAGGTTCTTCTCCCTCCTCACTGTTCTAGAATACGACTTAAAGTTAGCGATAGAACAAAATCGAGGAACTCTCCCCCGGGATCACTCTTTTCTATCGCCGCGCAGGACTCCTGGAATGTATGTTGTCTCTCGATGTTGCCGGTCTGGGTTCACTGGTAGCAACCCGGGAACTAGACGAAATACAGAAGTACTAGAGGAAGAAATATGGCTACTCCTGGAGCTTTTACTGCTCTCTTGTAGATAACTAACATATCACTTATTTTCTTAGTAAAAAAAAACGTTTACGGGCATCAGCGCAGTTTTTTGGTCCAGCTTTTGGTGTTCACATTTCGGTTTCGTCAACTGTACATTATATCACTGTAGGGAATTTAGTTCAAAGATATCCATTTATAGTGTTTGAAAGAAAATATTTTCATTATTTACTATATCTGTAAATGTATCCAAATTTTTAGAAAGTTTGCATTACAATTAAGATATTATAGTAAATAAACAATTAACTTCTTTTTAAAATAAATTCGTTGCTTTTTGAAGATTTACCGAATACTATAGTCCAAAATCTGCTTGTTTTCATTCT